GAGATGAAGCCTTTACCCTTTGCTGACTTTCTTCTTTTTCTTCATCTTCCTCCAAACCATCCCCTCGAGGAAAAAGTGTTGAAACGGTGAGCCTCCTCATTTAACAGCTCCGGATCTCTGAAACTATAAAGACAATTCAGGATCTTAACGACCAAAATATGACACCGAATACAACAAACATTCATATTAAAGATGACATTTGATTCATTTCTACTGAGTGGGCTCAGGGTTTACAGTGTGTGTACAGTGTGGGGTAATATTATAATGTGTGTCTGTATAAATAAAAACTTACAAATAAACAAAGTTCTAAAAAAGACATTTGAAGGAGTTGTGGAGGAAGTACTCAGATCTTTTCAAAATAAAAAATATATATAGTTGCATTAAAATGTTCCAAAAGTAAAAGCATTAAAAAATATATATGTATTATATCACTGGAAGAAGTGATATAAAGAAGGCAGAACAAAGCCAGGCACATTTGAACAACAATTACAGTTATTACAAGCTAACTGAATGTGATTTGAGTATTTGGTCATAAATAAAAAAGTAGTGGACAAATTAAATCTTACGTCAATCCATCAATAACTCAGGTTAACAGCATTATTGATGGGTTGATGATTCTGCACATATTAAAGATCTCCTCCAGACATTCACTGCTTTTTAATAATAATTTGTGTCTGATATGTTTTTTGTTTGTTTAGGGGTTTTGTTTTTTTTTTGTTTTTTGTTTTTTACAGAAAAAGGTTAAATTGCATCATTAAAAATTCTTAAAATGACATATTTTTATTTTCATATATTTTATGACATCTTTATTAGGTAAAATGAGATAAAATTAACCATTATAATACAACAATCGTACAATAAATCCTGAAGGTTGTAATAATAATGATTAAAAACAACAACAACAACAACAATAATAATAATAATAATAATAACTGTATTTATAAAGCACTTCTTCAATTTTTGGTTGTTTTAGAGCATTTACTTGAATTATATTGCGTTGCACTGAAAGGTTTTTCCATTATTTACTTTGCCCTCATTGATATAAACTGGTTGGACAACATATTAGAGGAACACCTCTCAGTATGGTGCAACATAATTTCACAGCACCACAAACTTCATCCTCCAACATGAGTATAAAATCGACACTTCTCTCAAATGGGTCCAAACCAAAAAACTGATTATAACCTTCATGAAGGGAGAGTTTATTGCAGCACTTTAAGATGAATTAACAGGAGAAAACCAGCTCAAACACCCACCTACAATGTACAAAAAGTGGAAATAACATGCGTACAAACCTGTCTCGGTCCTGGCTGCGGTTTTCTCAGGCACTTTGAGTCATTATGAGTGCGTATTGTGCGGCCAGTCACTTTCACACAGTCTGCTGCACCACTCGGCTCTGGAGAATCTCTGCACACCTCGGTGTGAAATGCTGCATGTTGCAACTTTCCCTCAGCTCAGCATAATCCTACAGTGATTATCATGCGACGGAGACACAGTGCTGTAAGCTCACAGTGGCACAAAACACCTGGTTCAGTCTTCAGCTGCTTCTTCTGGCTTCATATTAAGTAACACCAGTATTCTCATACATGGCACTGGCGCTGTTTATGTGATATACTGATCAAATACCTCACAAATATGCATGTATGTCATTTCAGGGATGCTGTTTTACATGGTTTCTAAGCTGATTGGGATACAGTTTCAGGAAGAGTGTGCTGGTGCTACTTCACCAACCAACTGGAGCTTAAACCATTAATTGATAAGTTGATCAACAGATAATGAATCATGGATTGTTTCACTCATCTAAAAGCAAAGATCAAACATGCTCTGATCCTCAAACGTGAGGATTTTTCTGCTTTTGTTTATCGTGTAGATGTTACCTTGGGATCTGGTAAATTATAATGGGCATTTTCACAATTTATTTTATATTTCTTTTGGGGCTTTTTGCCTTTATTTGACAGGCGAGCTTGAGATAGACAGGACACAGGGGGAGAGAGAGAGAGAGGAAGACATGTAGGACAGCCCAGCATCTTCCACTATTTTGTGATATTTTTCATTATTTCTTAGTCAGAAAAAGGCCTTTTGTAGATTAACTGAACTTTGTAACAATAGAAAACATAAAAACAGACATAAAGTACAAATGCTTACAGTAGGTAAGTACTTGATTTCAAAATATAAGGTCAAACCATCCCTGTTCCCTATCAATTTCATCTGGACAGCCCACTCACCAATAGGTTTTCCCTTTTAAAAACATGCGATGAAATGCTGTTGAAGTGTACAAAATTCTATTTTAAAAACATTTAACTGCTTGAAATAAAGTTTCCCTCCTTAAGAAGGTTAGAAAATATCTTGCCTGGCAGTATTATATATGCAGCTTCAGCTCTTTATTGAAGCTTTATGAAGTGAAAGCATTTTCCTTCAAATACCACAGATGTCTTGTGCATCATTTTGGATAAGTTTCCCCCAAAATGTAACCTGATATATTCGGTGTCTTTATTTAAAACTTGAATTATTACTATAGAGAGCTTAAAATGAAGTTGGTATAAACAATATTATTGCGGTTGAAGACGTTAATCAGAGGTCAGGGGGTAAATTTACAGCTTTTTTGGAGCTTAAACCACCACAAATCAAATAAAAAAAGAGTTTCAGGACTACAACTCCCATTATAAATGTGTTGTATAGAGCTTTTATTCAGGACACCTTGGAAGCAGTGGCAGGACACCATAATTTACAAATATTCAGGTCAGAGTTCACTGAGCACCGGCTTTGGGGGGAACCCACTCGTGGATCTTCTTGCTGGTGGTGGAATAGGGCACGTACTGCTGAGAGGTGCCGCTCACGTTGAACTGGTGGACCTCGGCCAGGAACTTCTTGGGCTCTGGTGGATGCGTGGTGGGGGGGTCGTCTGTTATACAGTGCAGCCAGCGATGCCTGAAGAGTGAAGAAGAGGAAAGTAGCTGCCTTAAACAGGAGGCTTATGTGAATTCTTTCTTTTATTTGTTTTTTTTTGTGTGTTGATGACACTGATTGACACATAAAACAATGTATACTGTATATCTTAAGGAGAACTGGTATCCTATGAATTCTTTTAACTGTTAATAGAGTTGTAGTGTGTCTCATTATTTGTGTTATTTCTATAACAAACTGCAGCTTCGTACCATTCAGCTGGAACCATGCTGCCGTCCACCTCCCACATGCAGTCCTTTCCGTTCATCTCTGTGGTGTAGATCACCCAGCGGTGACGCCCTGAACACATTTACAGCACAAGCCAGAGTTTATTTACCAAATCACACTCATTTTAGGAGTTATAACAGCACAAAACATTGTATTTTTGGGTGCAAACGTCCAGCTAGGGACTTTAAAGCATGCAGCATTTGGAGAAACTCACCGAAGAAGTAGTGCTTTTTGTCTTCAAAGTATTTGTTTCCATATTTATCCACCCCAATAAGGTTTCCTGTCTTCACATCATTCACCCTGTCGACAAAATGATGACAGTCAGACATACAATGCACTTTTTTTTATATATATATATATATTATATATATATATATACACACTGAGGGACAGCAGACATGTCGGTCAGTCTGTTCTCTTCATCAACAAAAGGGCTCACACACTCAGTGAAGGTCTGGGATTAAAATTGTGACTTTCCTTTTGCAGAAACAAGCAATTATCAGTAGTTCCTTTAAGTTTTTATGGTTTCCTAAATCCTGACTGTCAGCAGTGACTATGTAGATCTATCAAGCATTATAATTACTCATTATTCCAAAGGCCCTTTAAGAAACTGAGCCCCACAATCAGCCTGTCCATAAACATTATTCTGCGCCATTCTGCAGCAGCTTAAAACCGAGAGAACTGGTGCTGCTTAAATTGGGAGTTTTTTGAATGGAGTCTGGTGCAACGTCCAAATAAAACACCAGCAAAATAAACGAATATCAAACAGTCTCACAGTCGCTTTCCATAACACAACAGCAGAGGAACTACATTCACGACACTGACCTGAAAAACTGAACAAGAAGACCTCGTAATCCACCATGACCTCTTATTTGTCCTAAAGCCCTTCGAGCGATGTTCGCATACTCCGCCATCTTGCGACGGAAGGTTTACCGAGGCGGACCGGTCCGCGTTAAAAGCGGTCCGAGTGATAACAGTAACACTTCAATAACATAAAGAATATAATTTATACTAGTATAACGAAACATAAATACATATTTTTAAGCTTGATTTGTCTCTTTTTTCCCCCAACTTTATGTAAACCAGTGTTTATTTTAGTATGACATTAAAATATAAGAAATCCCTGCCGATGTTCTTTATGCAGAAAGTCAAATTAAATAACAAATAAACTGAAATTAAATGTTGTTTCATTATGGTGTATAACAAACAAAACACCAGAGAAAAAAACCTCAATAAAACCCCATAAAAACAAAACACAAACATATCTAAAGACACCTCATGGGTCAGTGTACGACCCTAGTGTGTATATATATATATTTATATATTTACCATTAACACCATTTTAAATCCTACAACACTTAAATATACATTAAAATATTAACAAGGAAGTGGTAAATCAAAGCAAACTCAGCAAATGAGTATTCAGCAGGTTGCTCGAGGGCACTTGTTCCCCGACAGACTCGAACTCAAGCTTTTTTTTTTAATTAAAGGACGGTCTCTCAACGAGCTTACATCCCTCTACTGCCCAACAGGGTGGCTCTAACAGGGTCTAGTGTCACAGCTCGGGGAGACGGAGGGGAAATAGAGCATAAAGTCTCAGTAAAATTCAGAGCTTTGGTATCGTGACTCACTCATTAAAAATGCCTTATCTCTAAAACCGGGGGCTTTGATCGGCCTGCTCAAAGGGAGACCGACAGCTGAACTACTGCCTCCCACATTCATCCGTCTGCACTCTGCAATTAAGTAGTGACAGTAGTTTGTGATTATGTCCATTATCTCCACAGCTCACTTTAAATAACAGAACAGGAAATGAAAACAGGGAGACGAGATACATATTTATATATATTTTTATTAAAAACTGTTGCCTGACAGTTTAGAATCATTGTTTATAGGAGACTCTAACTCTGATAGAGTAGATGTTTTAACAAATGGTCACTGTTAATGTACAATCATGAAGAAATACACCAGGCGGATGCAGGTTTTCTACCTCACAAGCCGAAATCTGAACGAGGCATACACGAAAAAGGGATATAATGACAGTATTAACCGCTTTATTCCTTCACTAAAAAAATAAGGAGAAGCAGGATTTGGGTTTCTTCAACTGTGAAATCATTCACCCTAATGGGGTAGTGCAACATATGGCAACCTAACTAAGAAGAAACAGACCTGAAATCTGATTTTAAAACTACAAACCCAGAGTACCCTGGCTGGAAAGTGAGTAGTCATGTTTAAATGTTTCCTTATTTAGTGAAGAATTTCAAACAGAGCACCTATATTATTGCAATTTATCTCGCAACAGGAGATATAAGGCACAATGTCGGCAAAAAAAAAAAAAAAAAAAAACGAGCATCAAAATTCAAAAATGTTTTCTTCCTTTTGAGCATTTCCTTAGAAATATAGTTCGTGCATACTTTCCACAGTATTTGCTCATACAAAAAAAAAAGCCCCTTTTCTGTAAGCAGTTCTCTTTTAAATTTAAAAGAATAACGGTTTTGATGGGAAACACATTTCCTAGAAAATCCTGACTCCCAAAATAAGTGGCAGCCTGTGCTTTTCAAACAATAAATCTTCCTATTTTATAAATATTAGCTCTCGGCTTTGATATATAAAAAAAAAGGTCAATGTTGCTCTTTCATGTCCATATACACAGTTTTACCCATTAACCATTTCTAATGTGGTTAAACAGGCAAAAATACATTTTAAAAATCGTATGAAAAATATCTACAATATTCGTGACATTTCCAGTTCTCTCCAGGATGCTGTTTTTTTTTTTTTTTTTTTTTGTTTTAAAACCCATGACTTAAATGTTTTGTATGTTAGATTTTAAAAATACAGGAGTAAAATCTCTTAACCAGAGAGATCAACCCAAAGAGTAGAACATCAACTTCCGGTTTCTTTGTAGAAGCTGGATTTTCACAGTAAAATCCCACCTTGTTACATCGTTAAACTCTTGAACAGACATCTGCGATACTTTGCATCCACGATTCGGAGAAACTTCTTACCATTTTGAATATTTTATGATGTGTGTGTGTGTGTTTTTAAAGTTTTATCTTTGGGTTTTGCCCAAACAAAATAACACGGTTTTAAACTACTAAGTGTAGCCAAGGTCAACGTGGTCGAATGAAGGCGGATAGTTTTGTAAATTTAGTTTCACACAAAAAAGGTAATTCCTTCATACTTTTACAATTAAAAATAATTCCCAGACTTCCCGGGATTTCCGAGGGCTTTAAATATTCCTGACAACTGTTCCGTCTCACTTCCACACACATGCTTCTGGACTTGACCTGTGACCCACAGCTGCGACAAACTATTAACTGTGACCTCAGCCAGCACTGCTGAGCATCAGTAGCCGTTATTGATAGAAAATGTTTTCAGAATCCAGTTCGAGTTCGAGGGGAAAAAGCAGTCTGGTTTCACACATACAGTATGCGGTGCTCTGCAGTGGGGTTTCTGTTTAAAGTAAACAGTCCATCCGGAGTCCTTCCTGAGCTGGTGACCCTTGACCTGAGATCAATCAAGGGTCGTGAGTTGTCTATCAACTGGCTCCGGGGGCTGTGATACGACTTCACTGCTGTAAATCCGATTTACTGTTCGAGAATCATCGCCTCTTGGAAGGCTTCGATCCATCTAAAGAAATAAAAAAAAATACAAAACAGAAAATTAGCTACCATTGGGGCAAACAGATTCAAATAATTAAAATATATAATTTGTAAGATTTTCATGAAATAAAACCGTGTATGGTTGGTATGGTTTCTGTAACTACGGTAACCACAGGTGTTGCCAAGTGAACCAGGACTGAAATCTTAAGGATTACAACTTTTTGAGGTCTTAATTCAGGTACCTCTGTGCAGTGGGGATGTCGTCAGCTTTAAAGATGTAAAACAGCGTATTTTTGTGATACAGCTTGAACTGCAGCTTCTGAGCCGGCCCGTTCTTCTCCTCCCTCAAGAAAAACCCGAGCAACGGTTGACTCTCCAGCGCCGCAACATCCTAGAGGGAGAAATAGTTACTCAACCGCAAGGTAGAAAAGCAACGCAGCGTTTGGTACAACAACAAATCACGCATCTCACGTACCTCGCTGGCAGCATAGGTGTACAGGACTTTATTCTTAATGACAAACCACAGCCTCTTCCACTGCTTCTTGTTGCCTTTGGACCTGTTTAAGTAGCCGCTCATGGAGGAATTCTCTGTGTTGGCGGAAACCTGGAAAAAACAAGAATAAGAAGGCATAGGAAATAAAATAAAGTCACTTCACATACACATATTTAGCCCATGAATGTTAATTTATGTTCTTTGCCTCTTTTAGTGCAGCAGGAATTTTCTTCTGTTTTCTCGTGAAGGGGAAAGCTCCAGATTTGATTGGAGAAACTGACGTTGAGGCACAACGGTCACCTTAAAAAAATAAAATAAAATAAAATAAATACACCAAAACCATGTTATTATCACGTTAAAAGAATAAATCTGACGATATTCTGTATTTTATAAGCATGAATGTTGTTAACAAATCCCATGAAAAGACCAAAACTATGAATAAGTCTGTCTTTCTCTCAACACTTTCCATCTGTGGCTCTCAGCTCGAAGCCTATTGGTTCCTACCAAAGATGTAAATCTTTAAAAAAAAAACCCATCTCACCATGATTTTATTTCAAACATTACTGAAATAGGAGGAAATAGTGTTTGTTGGGGACTATTTTCAGTGGCAGATGAATCCACATTTGGTGCTCTAGTGAGTATTTACAACAGCAGGATGTTGTATGTGGGAGTCAAAATAAACTATTCAAAGATTTGTGCAGGTGAGTTGGAAATAATTCATCTTGAGCTAAAAACATGTGCTTATTGGGGCATACATTGGCTGTTTGGGGCGAATGAATACAAATGGTTGAGTGCAGCAAACGCACAACATGAACATCCAAAACAATATCTGAAATCCTCGTTTACTTACTATTCTCCTGCAGCTTGGCAAAGCAGTGATCACACACACGTGCTGGTTGGTTCTTCAAGTACTCCAGGTAGTACTTATTGGCCGAGCATGCCTGACACACGACCTACAGAATCACATACGTACAACTGTGATGAGAAGACGGGTTAAGCAAATAATGTGCAGTGCTGTCGGAGTAGGAAGAGCTGTAGTTATGTATGAACCTTTCCACAGGCGCGGCAGTGATGCCTCCTCCAGGTGAGGGTGAACTCGCAGGTACAGATCATGCACATGGTGGCCCTCAGGTCTGGGATCCAGATGGGAGCTTTTGAACCCAACGGGGCCCCGCTGTCAACAACGCACTCCGCCTGAGTCGAGAGAGATTGAGGGTCAATATGGACGCACTCAAAAACACTTAGCACACACCCACACAGATTTACTGTATAGTTTTACCTCCTCCTGACTTCGACTTGATATGAAGGTTATTTTCTTCTTTGTGTAGTCGTCTATGGCCTTGGCGATGGCCTCCAGCCACTCGTCTCTCTCTGTAGCCGAGCTGCGAGCACAAAATAACATCATAACTCTCGGCTCCAGCAAACTGAAGTGTTTATGTGATATATTGGATGTAACCGTAAGCCGTTATGGCTGAGTGCTGACCTGGCAGACAGGATGAAAGAGCGTTCAACGCTTTCAATGTTCAGCTCGTTCTGATAGGCCTCCTGGCTGGGTTTACTCACCTGGAAAACACACACCACAAATCCATAAATAACAGAGATTGAGAACCACACTGTGACTGTAAACAATGCATCAATAATTCACTATAGCTGGTATTTCAGTGTTCACCTACACTTGTACATCTATAGGACTTGGAATCAAAAACAGTGGTACAAAAACAGCAACTGATGAGCTGAAGCTATGATTAAAAAATGCAATATGGAATCAAATATTAAAAATAACATCTAACACGAGAACAAAATCTGAACATAGAAAACAAGAATCATCAGTCAGTAAGAACAGGAATATATGTAGTTTAGGGAAACTATAATAATAAAAGTGAGTATATAAAACCAATTCAAAGTACAGGATTCAAATCCACCGTCACAGTGTGCTGTGTTCGCAGTGTGTTTCTAACCTTCATCCCAGCCAGAGAGAGGACACTGTTGAGTTTATACTGGGCAGACTGGACTGGAGTGGTGTACATGAGTGCATCATTGAACTGAAGAAACACACAAACAGCAGAAGTTTAGAGAGAAATACAGATACAGATTCACGGAGGAAAAAGATTCAATTTACTCAGTTTCTGACAATTTTCCATCTATTGCTCACCAGAAAGAACATCCGTGGCTGCATGACTTTCCTGGACAGCTTCATTAGAGTGCCCTCCTTCAGAAACACCTGCAAACGTGGACATGTTTGGTCTGAATGCATTTAAAAACATCTACAGGGGCTAAATAATACTACTATGTATAATACTTTTATGATTTTAAAGAAATAATGAGCACAAAAATAAAAGACAGCTCCAACTGGGAGGGATCAGAAGACACAGTAATATCAGCTCAATTATGATTTTGATGGTTAGAATTAATGTAATAATGAATATTATTATCAGTTATTGGAGCCTTTTTGAGTAGTCTGTACTCATTATTAGTATAAGATATTCAAATTTCTGTGTGAAATGTCAAGTTTTGTTTCTGCTTCCTGTATTTTTGTTAAAGGAAAACTGAAATGAAATCTAAAAATGAGTAACTCCGGTATTTGTCAGTCTTCTGGGAGAATTTACACCTGCGTGAAACTGGGCTACTTTGGTTTGGGTGAGATTGTACAAAAAGTTGACTCACCCTGCCCGGCTGAACGATCTCATGGTGACCATTGAGGCTGTACTGAATCTGCATTAGCTTCTGAAAGTTATCCTGAAACACAAACATGGGAGTGGTGAGGAGAAACACGAGGCTAAAATAGACAAAAAAACATAAAAGCTTTGTATGGAATAAGGTCTTACCCCTTGTTTCATAATGTCATTAGCATGGTTGGCCACTTCTTTCACTATGCTGAGGGCAGCTGCATGGACAGCAAAAGAGAAAACATTAGTGTTTCAGCACAACTGATGGTCTTGGTAGACACTAATGGCGAGTATTGTCTAACCTTGTGTGTCTTTGTAATCCTCAGAGTCCTCTGGAAGGTTCTTTAGATAATCTGGAAAAAAGCAGAGAGGTTTTCAATTTATTTATTGAGCAAAAAAGGTGACTAGTGTGCACCAGTTGGGTACAGCTGCAGGACAAAAACCAGCAAGAAAAGAAAAGGAGAGGCAAGATCCTACAAGTTTCTGTGAATAGAGCGTTTAAACCTGAGAGGCAAACATTCAAGGGAACAAAAAAACAGGTTATATATATACAGACAAAATGACAGCTCCACCTACAATCAGGAGATCACGTGATGCTAAATAACAACCACATCAATCTGTTGTGTATAGAGAAAAGAAATGTCTGTAGCCCATGAAGGACATACAGATTTATATCATTTGATACTGTTACTGTTACTGTCCACTGGGGGCCAGTATGGTACCAAAACCCGAAAGAAGCCACAACAAACAGACGTGACTTCAGTCCAAGAGTCATTCACATGCCGTCAATAAAAGAGCGCCGTAATTCAATAAAACCCTTGACCTTCAGTGTGCAGAGCAGAGCAGAGCAGAACAAGGAGTGAATGTGTGTGTGTGTCAGGGGGTTTGTACCTGTGAGCAGCAGCTGGTACTGAGGGATTCTCTGCACTGGTTTCAGAAGGTAGTGTTTCAGAGCCAGACTGGCACATCTTGGACTCATCTGAGATAAAAACAAACAAAAAGTTGTTTTCACACACTGCTGCAAATCCAGGGAAATCCACACAGACACTGAAGCTTTGGATTAAATGCCTTAGATACGGTGGAGTGTGTTGATGGCTGCTGCCGATAGCAGCTATTCTGGACTGAAGCTGCAGAGAGCTGAGAAGTATCTTTAAATGTCTGAATTCTGATGAATTTTTTGGCAGAAAATCACAAAAATTCCAGTTACAGCTTTGAAAAATGAAGAAGAAAGTAAATTTTTGTCAATTAGTTCCAAACTTCAAAAAAAGAAAGACTATTCAATAGTGGAAATAATTGTTAGATGAGGCCCCAATTAACAAATAATACAATAAGACAAATAATGATATTCCAACGTTGATACTCAATAAAAACACACAACCGTGTTTCCAGCTCTACCTCAAACTCCTTGACAACAGCGGCGAACGCGGTGTTTTTCCTGCACTGTTCGTCTAACAGCGCCACGTTGTTGTCGAACTGGCGGATGTAGGTGGAGTACATCTTCAGGTAAGGACCCTTCTGGACGAAGATGTCCGACAGTCGCTGGTGATCGCTCCTGTAACCGAACAGACGGAAACAGTTTCATTCAGCACTGCAGTAGTAGATGAAAAGCAAGGAAAGAACGTCCTTTAATGGGAAATTACATTGTTTTTTAAACTTTATGACCATTTTTTTTGCAGTATTGGACATTAACCAAGTGTTTATGGTGACATTTTACTCACATACATGAACTGCTAAGACGTATGGATGCGGTATCATTGCTAAAAAGTCCAGCAGAGCAGCGTGAGAACTTTAAATGATCTGAGAGGTTGTAAACAAAACCTCCAGATAGACACAAAGTAGGTACAAACACTTATTTGGATAAAAAAAATAACAGTGAATGTTCCCAAACTGTCCATTAAAACTGTTAATTGCCATGTACAACTGCACAATTACAGTAAGTCAATGTTGAACCAGGAAACTGCTGTCCCAAAATCAAACATCATACATCACCTTTGTTTAAACTATCTTATAACTGGTTTATAAGGGGTTTTCAAACTGTTAGGTATTAGGTACGCCACCAGGAGGGCGTGGGGGGGGAGAAACGTGAGTCACACAAAGCTCAAGGAGGAAGCTGATACACTTTAAAACCCAAAACATTCACTCCTTCTTAGAGTCATAACTCATATATTCTAGACTCAGTGGGACTTAGACTTCCCGAGGATATCATCTCCAAATGTTCATCATGAAAATATGTCCATAAATCCTCTTTATAGAAATGATAGAACTTGTAACTCCAGATCTTGCCTGAGAATCCTCATGTTTTATAAGATTTATTCAGCATCAAAGTAAAGCAGTGATAGCAGAGCCACAAACAGGAACTGCTAAGAGCTCATTCAGCATACTGTTGCCAAAATGTAAACACACAAAAAAAAAAAGTTTGTGTGTGTGTTTACCAGTGTGCCACTCTCTCCTCCAGCTCTCTCAGCAGGTCTCTGTTGAGTTGGTAGAGCTGCGGCAGGTAATACAGGATCTGGCTGAGGATCCGCTCATCCACCACTGGCTTCCCGTTCTGACGAGTTGCCTTGGCAACAGCATCCCGAAAGTCCTGAGGAGACAAAGTGGGTGAATGAAACAAAAACACATACATACAGACATAGCTGTATAGGGTGGGGTAACATATGACAACATACTGTATTTGCAGCTGAGCAGGAACACCTGGTTATCACCTCATAAACTGCCCCCTTTCTCCACCCTTCCCCCTACAGCTCTGGACTTTACAACACACACACACACACACACACACACACACACACACACACGCAGAGTCAGCAATCTTGACGTTGTCCAGCGTGCCAACACACACATCCACCTGGAAGGAAGCAGGGGAAGCCACGCAGGATCCCAATGTCCTGGTTAACATGTTAAAACACACACACACACACACACACACACACACACACACACAAAAGAGATTGACACTGACACACATCTATCTTTTTTTAATTAATTTAACTTGACCATATAATTGTTGATACTGTGCCTTGTTTCTCTTTAGATGATGTTTAACCTCTCTGCTATACTAAAGGGTGTGTGTGATGCTTTACTAGCAGATAATTAAAACATCCATTATAAACATTTTTTAAAGTCTAATCAAAAGCCTCTACACTTTTGCAGATTGTCTTTATCACGTTGAAAAGTTCAACAATAGCAACAAAACAAAAACATAAAACGTTGGTTTAGCCACACAAGTTGAGAAAATGTAAATACCAATTACCATGCACTAGTATCACAGCTCATTAAACTACCACTTATGCACTTGTAATATATTTTTCTTGTATATGAGCCTCAGTTAAGAAGGAAAAATAAAAACTGGCCCAGTTTCCGACTTCTCAAGTAATTCAGGTAAACTGACAAACCACCGCCTCAATACTCACAAAAACACACAGAAACTTTGGTTACAAATAAACCGACTTCAGAGCGGGCGAAAAATGTAAACACATCGGCTGGATGACTCGCCACAAGTATGCACACATAGTCACCAACCCACGCACCCACCTGCACACACACACACACACACACACACACACAGGATTATCTAAGGCATGTGTGTGTGTGTCTGGAGGTCGTCCCTGTGGCCAGGAAGCAGCTGCTGCACGGCCAGGAGAGAGAAGAATGCGATCTGACCTCCTTTCTTGGACAGAGCTCCGAGCCTCCTCCCCCCGTCAGCCACAGGACGACCACTACTTCTAATCCTGTGGTCGTTTCACTAAAGCCGCCAGACAGGTGGACCCCTTTACCCTCGGTGTGGGTCGTCTGAACCCTCTCACCTGGGATTCCCCTCGGGACAGACCGACTACAGAGTCTGTCCTTGACATATATATATATATATATATATATATATATATATATACACACATATATATAAATATACACAAAGGCAGAGCTGTCAAATGTTAACAGACAGACTTAAACAAAAGCACTCTAATATATTGATTTAATTAGAAGAACGCACACAGGAGGCCACTTTTGGTGTTTGCTTAACACACCAAAACGTTGCCATGGCTTTGGACCTCTTGTCCACTCAAATCATTTTCAACAGCAGCACATGGACACCGAGCTCGGCAATACACCCGAAATTTACAAATACTTTTGACATTTGAAGTCACAAGGCCGGCCTGATTTTTGCTCATGTCAACAACCAGACGTCACCCAGTCACATGGTTCCTGTTAGTCTTTTCTTCATTCAAAACAGATGCAACATGATGGGTGATAATGCAGCGTTTCAGCATATTTCTATGGAATAAAAGCTTTTAGCAGAGCATATAGTGCAGCCACAGGATTAATCAAGTAACATTTTAAATACTAAAATATCTACTAATAAAAACATAAACAACTGCAAACCAAAGGATGACGGCCTGCAGTTGTTGACAATATAAACTACATGGAGAAACTGACTTTAGATATGAATAATACATGAAGTGTTATGGTGCCACTTGGTGAATTCAAATGCCAAAAAGTTTGTTTTTCCCCCAACTATATTTTTATTAAAAGAAGACAAACTAATAAACGATCTATTGAACTCACGCTTTCTTTGCCTCGCATGCATGCACACACACACACACACACACACACTTGCCTGACAGTCTTGGTTGTCATGGGACTGATCAAAGTGCCGCCTCCCTACTTGCGGCCATGAGTTTACCTGCCCACTGCCGCCCCCGGGAAACCAAAAACCCTCCAACGCAGCAACTTTAAAAGCCTCAGCAGTGTAATAACTGCATTATTCAACTCTGAACGGGCACTTGAGCAAAGACAACACCAGCCAAGACCTCATTAATTCATGTCCATCCCAGGGAAAAAAAGCTTTGATCACCATTCAAAACAATCACAGCTTTGGTGCGGGTAACAAAACATACGGCATGATTTATTATGCTAGGCACTCTTCTTCTCCTCGACTGCTAAAACGAGTCACGCAAAATGTTCCTTTAATGTAACCCTTGAACAAATAAGACACTTACTATGTGGAGAAGCTTCAGGACATCCACAAACCTGATGAAAAAAAAGAGCAGAAAGACATCAGTTAAAAGCATAAAACACAGCACATTTGGGCCTTTTGAGCACAGATTCTATTATAGGGGTGATATAAAAAAACTCACACTTTCTCTGAGCTCATAATCTCCTGGGCGATGTGCACCACCTTCTTCCTCTTCATCTCATCCTCTTGCTGAAAAGAAAAAGAAGCACAAACAGTTAAGCAACGCTACAGAAATGCAAACAGCGACCGACTTCACCAACAAAAAAAACCACGTCATTGCTCGCTCACAGGCTCACTGCAGATCACCATGATGATCACTGGATCCTGTTTCACTCGGTAAAAACCATGAGGACTGAGTTTACAGCCCTCCAAACAACAGCTCAATCAGTCCTGAAAGTAGAGCACCGACCTTTCCCTTCTCCCTCTCTCTCCCTCTCTCCTCTCCCTGTGTCTTTCTGATGGTGTGTGTTGTTGAATGGTAATGGGGCGGTCTCTCAATGACTTAATTTGGACGGCGGCCTTGGCCCCCCCGTTTGACTGAAATGTCCTACTGGTCCCATTGGAGCCTGTATCTGTGATACCCTGGAGCTTTGAGTGGCGTCGGACACAGGCGCTGACAGTATCATGGAGAGGGTCACACAGGACGAAGAAAGAAAAAAAAATATATATCTTTCAGTCATTGAGAGAGCTATTCCTGAACCTGTAACCCTTCTGTGTTTGCTCACCACCCCCCCCTTCAACACACAGACACACACACACACACTCTTCTGGAAAGCTGTGACAGGCAACAAACACACTTGGCAGCAAACGTGTGCACAATCTCCAGTGGCTGCAGTGACAGTTTAGTCACCGGCAGCGATATGAGATGTCCATTGCAATCTGTAAGCGCTCTTGACAATTTTACATGTTGGCATCATGTCTGAAAAGAGCTCGGAGTCATTGTTCTGTAAAAGCTGCCCCCTCTTCCTTAGGATCAAGTAATGGTTCTGTATTATTTTCCACATGTCTAAAGTGTGATTAAAAGCATACATTTGAAAAACAACGATTTTGCATTGCCAGCCAGACAGACTAGGAAGTGATACTTTTCTGCAAACGGATCATTTTGCATTGATTAGATAACACTTTGTTAAAAATGTTTTGGAAATTGGACGCTGAAATCTGAAGACTGCTCTCCCTTCACACCGAGTAAAATAAGTAATAAATAATAATAATTATGTAAAAAACTGGACGTGTGACGTATGAACAGAGACTACATGAGTTAAAAACTAAAAAGCTAAAACAGATTCCAGATCTAAAAGAGGCTAGAAGAAACCCTGATTGGGGTTGTACAGTGTGACACTTTGATCTGCTTAATAATTTAACTTATTTCAATCAAAACAAACAAATATGAAATATATTCTCCGTATCAACTAACATCAGAATTATGGCGGATATATGATGATATGATTCAGAGCAGAAATTACTTTTTTGATTATTTGATAGTTGACCAACAGAAAATCAATCTGCAACTGCAATCTGATAATTAATTAATCGTTGGAGTCACTTTCCAACCAAAAAACACCAAATATTAACTAGCACCAGTTTCTTAAATGTGAGTATTTTCTGCTTTTTAAGTATCATTCAAACCATTGGTCAGAGAAAACCAATGTAAAGACGTCACTTCGCACTAAAATTGCCTTTCTCCTAATATAATTCACTTATAAGGCAAATGTTTCATATATTTGAGCCATAATAGGCTATTTTTGTTCAAACGACTGTCCAGTTTCGAAAGCATAAAGTTGAAGCTTCGGTGGGTTTCTTAAAACATTTTAGGCGCAAGCGTCTGTAGAAAGAATAAAAGAATAAGGATGTTTAACCAGATGTATGATGAATGATAAATAAACTCCACTAGTGGAAACTGTGGATACTGGATACTGTCATTGGGTACTGGCAAACGTTTCAGTTTCAAGTTTACACAAACCTAATTAGTTTATAACTTTACAGTCATTGCTGTATAATGACCGAATTACCCTTACAGTTTACAGCGAGGTGATTACCTGTCGGTCTGCCTCGTCCAGGTTCTCCTTGCTGGAGGTGGAGCTGTTGTCCTCTTCGTCTGAACTGTGGATCTCCTCTTCCTCAGAGTGGATGTCCTGCCTCAGCCAGCCACTGCTCGCCCCAAAAAACACAGACACCACACATTCAAAACGCAACAAAACAGACACAGAGCGACAGTCAGGGAACGACTTAATGGTACATGGAGCAGAATTTGGGTTTGTTTTAAGAGGAAATGTTAAAATGTGTGTGTGAATTAGAAGCCGGGCAGGGCCGGAGAGGAGTACGTGTTCAGGGAAACCCTCCCTGGATAAACACAGATTAAATACAGTCACGTGTAGGTTTTGTGCAAGACTTGATAAATTGAACAACGCACTTAATCTTTACTTATATGAGTCAGCACGAGGCTCATTCAGAGGTCTTGTACAATGGAAAATACTGGATCACACTGTAACAACATTCAGAACAATAGGAATGATTTTTATATTGATAGAGTAGAACTGACTTCTCAATAAAGGACTTTAGTACAGTAATACACAGATTGAGTGCTTCAATATGAAAAGGGTAAAAAAAAACCCAAATAGATAAAAGCGTCAAAAACAACTTTAATAAAAGAAAGAAATCTCATTTGATGTGTGCTATTGTTATTACTATTAGAGCTGAAACAATAAGGCAATGAATCAATGGACAGAGACAATTTTTCCTTTATTTTTTTGACATTTAATTGTCTAAATGCTCAATGAGCAGATTAATCGCAGCCCAAATTTAAAATAAATTTATTTTTTTAATTATTATTATCACTACTATTGCATTATTAATGCAGTATTATCATACACAGAGTTTCAGACTGAGGTCTAGAAGATGGAATTGGCACAAAATGTTGTTGTCATTAGTGATTTTAAACAAACTGTTATTAAGAAAATGAATCATCTTAAATTAGGCTTTTGTTTTAAATGTATGAAGAGTTTTATCTGATGAAACAAGGGTAAACTGATCATTGCATTAAGCATCGATTTGATTAAATTATATCTAAACATCAGAGGTCTTCTTAACTTATTATCATGATTTCTGTAGGCCTACATCCACTTCACTCGTTTTGTTGTTGCTTATTATGCTAAAGAGATAAAAACCTGTATTTTCTGTGTGCTGCGTCTTTATCAGCCGTGCTGCTGGCAGGAAGACAACACGTTGGCTCAGTTCCACAAGAAGTGTTGTCTGCCAGGTTAGTACAAGCAGCAACATGTGTTTGTGTGTCACTAATGTTTTGATCTATCTCCCCGTCGTCTGTCCTGGAGAATTAAGCTGTCTGATTTCAAAAGACTGATGAACTAAGACTTCAGCACAGGAGGTATTAATGTGTTTTGATTTTGCCTCTTCAAGGGCCTGTCGTGTTTGTTCCTCTGTTCTTTTCCAGCACAAAGTCTGTGTAGCTTGTAGAGCTTGTACCTTGGCGAAAAAAAGGGTGATGGCTCAGAATAAATATTAGATAGGAAAAACTGTGGGACTCCAGAAATTCTCACATTTCCTTTCACTCCCATCAGCAATAGCCCACTCTCTCCACTTCCTTGTTTTTCTTAAGTGGCTCCCGACAGTTTCTTTTACCCCCAATCGCAATACACACTTACTCTTCCTCGACTTCTTTCTCCCTTACGCTTTTCTCTATAGTCGAGCATTCCAACACACTGGGTCAGGCACAGAGCGCCACTTGTTTACAGCCTGAGGCTACTTACATAAACTTAACAGGCTCAGATGCCTGGGAAACACTACAGATTCACTCGCTCCCTCTTTCCTCCTTTTCTTAACACACAAACACCCTGCTAACCACCCTGCATACCAGACAGACTTAAGAAGCAGGGTGCATCTTGATTTTTTTTTAACGGCTCATTTCACACCAGTGTACCTCATCGTCTCCTTAAGTGGTCTTGACTTCATTACTTGTAGTGCCGCGATCCGACGGAGGAAACAGGAACCATGCTGTTTATCATGGGAACGGGTCCTCATCACAACAGTCTGGGGTCTACTATCATGAACAGTGACCCACGAGATCTTAATAGCATGAAATTACTGGCTGCGTCCCTTGATATTGAAGTGATCAGTCAATTGATAGGAAATTTACTGAGCAAAATGCCAAAGATATTCACGTTTTAGACTGTCAAAGCTGCACTAATCTATATTTTTAGAGTTTTAGTGCCTTTCAGCTCATTGTTTTGGTTCAGTCTCACCGCTCTCATCAGTGTCGTTTTGAGCAGGAGCAGGCCGCCTGATAAACCAACTGCACAACTACCTGCCCAGTTCTAAACAGCAAATAGAGAAAGTCAGCAACACGCTAGTGAACACAGTGGAGCACTGAGCGGCTAAAGAGCCTGATATTTGCCTCAGGAGTCGGTGGAGAGCGAAACAGAGCTATGGGTAGAGTGAATATTGGACTTATATTAATCAGGTGGTGAATGCTAATGTTGCTTTGGTGTTTTATCGTCATTATAAAGAGGTAATTTATTTGTCAGATAGTCTGATTGCCATTGGAAATATCTGGGAAATGTATATAAATAAATAAATAAATAAATAAATAATGAATATATTTTTTTGTACTACTGGTTTACAGCTACTCTACAGCTCGAGTCAAGCAAAAAGCTGGATCTTTAATGTCACGAAAGAGCAAGTTAAAAACCGGTTTACTGCTGGAGGAGATTTCATGCCAACACAACTCTTCATGTGATTGTTGTTGATCTTCCCACAATAAATCACTTCATTTTCTTTAATAACAATTTATGCATTTATACCTTATTGTGTGTTCAAAGTCCTTTACAGTGTGTCCCTATTGTTATCTTAGTTCAATCTGTCGCTACGCCATTCTTTCCCTGAATGTATAGGCCTCTGAAAACTGCTGCCCTCTCATAGGCGTGACGTGGAATTATGATTTATTTGATCATTTACCGATGAGAACGTAACTTACTTCAGATCTTCTTACAGAGACACAGAGGAGAAAAAAAGTGAGTGAGTGAGTGATGAGGTTAGGAAGAGGCTAAACACAGTGCGAGGGCGGGCGGGCAGGCAGAAGAGGAGGAGGCTGGTGGTTGCTGGAGGTTTATTTTCCCTGTTCTAGAGAGCTGTGTGGCGTTTCTGCGATTCTCAGACATTTCCTGCCCTGGCCACTGAAAATAACCCACAGGAAAACAGGCCGACCTGCAGCACATCAATGCTCTATTCAAATTCACTGCCACTGGCCTCAAAAGGCTGACTTTCACACTCTTGAAAATACAAACCACTAATGTCACCTGCGCAACCTGTTGCACACAGCGGTTCCCACACCGAAACTATGGGTCGCCTGAAATGACAGGGTAGCAGCGCTGCGGGAGTTATGTGTTCGGGCCTCACGTCGACTCTCTTCTTACTTTCACTTTTCCCCCCTCACAAACACAAGCAGCCATTGTTCGTAGAATAAAATGTCTCTTTTCTTGAACTTAACTGGGAGATTTTATTGATAATCGCTGCTAAACAGAGATGGTTTCAGTCTTTTCTGTTACACAGAGATTATTTTGATTAAAGATGATAAATCTTCATATTCGACACCTGTTACTGCTGGATCAAGGACGGTTAAAGACAGGTGTTAATCTAAAGTCAATTAAAAAGTCATTTAGGAAGGAAAAATGTCAGGACAAATATGACAATTTGCTGTTTTATGTCACTGTGAATGGAATATTTTGTGGTCTGACAGAAAGACATTTCATAAACTTGACAATTAATCGATAAATTGTTAAAAAATAAATGAGAGATGGATCTAGTAGCCTAGAAGTTAAGGCAACGACTCAGGTTTGAATCCGGCTTGCAACCTTTGTTGCTCCCCACCTCTCTCTTCCCTAAATTCTTGTTATCTCTGAATTGTAATTTCTCTATTAAAAGGCATAAAACAACAAAAAATGTGTTTGTTGCACCGTTTAACAAGATGTTTAAACATGCAAATACCGTACCTCTCATACTCATGGTCAGGGTATCTGTGATAGGGATCCTGCACTTCATAGATGTCTGAATCGGCCGCATCGGGGTCATGTGGCCAGCCCAGCCTCGCACTGTGAAACGGTAGGTTCATGTACTCGGGGATTTCCTCATACAGAGGAACGTTCTCATATTCCACTGATTCCTCTCCACCTTCTCCACAAAAATCTACCTCCCCTATGCAGCTCTTTGGTCGCTCCAGGCTTTTCTCCCCCCGGTTCGACTCCACGCTGGTACAATCCAGAGACTGGCTTCCTTTAACCAACAGCTTTGGTAGCATCTTGACAGACAGCCTGAGCTCCAGCAGCTTCCGGAAAGAGAGGCTCCTCTTTTGAGAGTCGGCCCGGGTTGCCAGGTCAGCTGCAGAGAAGGACTGCGCCCTCTGCTTGCCCCCCAAAGCTGGCGCTCTGCTCTTTGGCGGCACGCTGCTCCTGGTGGGCATCTGTCGGCTGAAGAAGGTCACGCAGGGTCGGGTGAAGCGCCAGGCTGTTTTCTCCTGAGGAGGCGCAGGCAGCTCCCTCATGGGGGTGTTGGCATGTGGAGGTGCAGGAGGGCAGATGGAAGGTGGAGGGGGTGCTGGCAAGCTGTGTCTCTGAGGTTTTCTGGGCGGCGCCCTCGGTGACCGCTGATCCTCGGCCGAAAAGGCCTTCCTCGCGTTGGCCAGAGGAGGGTGACAGCCCAGTTTGATCTGCTTTGGGAGGCTGTGAGTGATCGGGTAGCGCTCAAAGTCGCCGTACCCGTCCTCTTCATCCTCCTCCATCCGGTGATCCTCGCCCTCGTTTTTGTGGCTCATTGATTCAGGTTGTGAGAGCAGGACTAAGGAGTGGGAGGTGTGCTTGTTTAGAGAAGGGGGCATGTACTCTGTTCTGTGAAGTCGAGGAGAGAGGGAGGTCTGTCGAGGAGGCGGGACGGGTGCGTCGGTCTCATCGTCTTCCAAACCTGAGTCTTTTTGGGGTAAAGGGTCGTCACACGTGTCCTGTTTGAGCTCCTCGCCCTCTGAACTGAGAGCTACACTCAGTTTCCCTTCAGCCTCTCGCATCTCAAGCCCCCGTTTTTGTTCCTCCGTCAGCTGATCCTGGGCACTGCCCTCCACGCCATCCTGCCTCACCAGGGCTGGCTTTTTAAGTTTCCGTGGGTGAGGGACCGGGAGAGGCTTGCTGGGGGCAGCAGGGACCTGCAGGTCAGGGTGTAACCTGGTAGGAGATGCTTTGCTGACGGGCTCACTGCGCTCTACCTGAAAGGATTCAGCAGAAGACTCATAAGGAGCGGTGCTTGTGGAGAAAATGATGCTGCCTGCAACATCACAGGCTGAGTCTGTTAAATCTTTGTTTCGGGCCTCAGTCTGTACATCCGCTTTTGAAACGTCGGGCTCAACAACAGCACTTTCCTGATGTTTTACAGTCTCTGAAGCTTTCCCCTTCTGCTCCTCAGTCCTCTGTGCCTCTTTGTTAACCGATACCCTATCCAGGTGTCTCTGTCTTTGAGGTTTATCCCTGGGCTTTCTACTCATCCCTCCACCTTCATTCTTCTGTACAACTACTCCCTCCTCCCGGTGTTCTGCTTTCTCCTGTGGCCTCGTCCCTGCGAATCCTCCGGTAGAAATCCCATTCTGCAACAGCTCTGCGTGGAAATCGCTCCCAATCTCGGTCGTATTTCCATTTTCCAGATGATGGCACTGGGAACAGTCCTCGAGCCCACAGGAGCAGGTGGGAATGATGTAGTCCGATTCACGCTTGTTAGTCTCTGATAAAATCCCATTTTTGGAGTTGAGAAGTGAGAGGCTGTCACCTAAAGCCTCCTCCTGTTCCTGAGAGAGGATGAGGGGTTCAGTGGGTTTGGGTGGCGGGGGTGAAACGGGCGGCGGAGACGAGGCTGTGGATCTGCGGATGCATGGTTTGGGGGCAACAGCCGGTTTTGTCCTCTTGAGAGTAGCAGGGGAAGGTTGGGAGATGACCGAAGACTGGGAGAGGAGACCGGGTTTGGGGGCGATGGGCGGGGGAGAGGGTTTGGTGGTAACAGGGAGTTTAGGTTTGGGAGCTAATGGAGGCTTCTTCACACCTGCACGTAAAGAAGGAGGAGGAGATTTACTGAAAAGTCCAAAAAATCATTTACTCACACTTCCTTACCAGTGAATCACCACAAAGCATGCTTCGTCCACACCCCCTTGAATGCAAGCACAGACAGCTGCAAGCTGAGGTTAAATCTAAAAAGGTCAAGAGGTCACTCTCAGGGTCAGAGGAGAGGAACTGAGGGAGTAATGTGTGAAATAAAAACCAGGGATCAAATATATCCAATCGACAACAAAAATAAAAACTCTCGTCACATCTGCCCAACCATTTTAATTCATCATAAAGTAGACGATTATCTGAGAGAAAGAGTACAAAGAGTCACATCTCACTTGTGGCAGCAATTACAAAGTAAAACTGGATTATTTCATTCAGATTCACAATTTAATTTGTACCCTCCATCCTGTTCTTGAGAGAGCTCTGCATGTCTGGCATGCCTTTACTTTACTGTCTAAATTGAATTGTAAAAACTACACCAGCAGCAACCAATGTGATAGACATAATGAGTATATTAATGTTGTATCCTCTTATAGTCTTTACTATCTTTCTGCCCCAACTGTGTTCCTATATTTCCAAAAGGCATGGTTTAAATGACTATTTATATTGTGTCTCAGCCATATTTTTGTGTAATATTTACAATAAATGATACCAATACTATACTAATATTTGAGTTTAGTGAGGCAATTAGGGCCTCACTGGGATTAACCTGGTTAAACAAAGTTTAAATAAAAAGAAAGCAGGGTCTATAAACTAATAAAAAGCTGTGAATTGACATTGTAGGCCATATTTTCCGCTCTACTGGCTGAAAGTCTTTGCTGGCCGACACCACGAGAAGTGGAGTCATCGAGCGGATGTTTCCGAAAAGGCCAACGACCAAAAAACCGCTCTGCCTCCGATCCATGCTGCTCTGCCTTTTGCAAGACGGAGCCTCGCCGAACTCCGTTCAAAAATCACCAACTTTAAAGTCACAGGGCTTTCCAGCAACAACACTCAGATAGTGGGATAGTAATAGTGGTGTTTTTACTAACCGCCGAGAGCCGCTGTTTAATTCGGCGTACACTTTCTACAATAAAAGTTCAACTTTAAGAACTGGTTCACCCAGATTTATATGAAAATTCACCACCGATGGCGGCGATGAGCAGAGAGAATCCATCTAAAAACTTTGATCCTATTGTTGCTTGGTTGTTTATCTACACGCCGAATTTGCCAACACACACTAACGGTGCCATCAGAGTCAATAAACAATGTCCTCAGAGATAAACGCCTGCTAAATACACCAAGCGACATTAATTTGCCAGTTTTTTAAGCGGAATCTGGCCTGTTTTCGCTGTGTAAGGCAACGCCAGGTATCTGGACTTAAACCCGCTCATGTCGTGGAAAGAACAATCATTAAAAAAAAAAAAAAACTACATGGCACATGTCCAATTCGGTGACACGAAGTCACAACTTCTCCTCCGAGGCAAATGCTAAACGAGATGTGAACATTTGCAGCTTTCTCATCGAGTCTGTTGCATCCAACAGCAGGACAGATGTTTTAAGACAAAGGATTTAACCCCCTCCAGCTGCAACAGTAGCTGTAATATCACACCAAAAAAAAAAAAAAAAAAGAAAGAAAAAAGGGCCATATTTGATTGGTTTTATTTAGAAAGCACTCAAATTGAAAGCCTGTCCTCTTTTTTTATATCTCTCTCTCTCTGAAAGCTGTTATTAAGAAAAACTGTAATTAAGCTAACTGGGGCTGAGTAAAAATAGAGTGGATGCTTACTCTCCGTTATAACATTTAAATTGCATTGTTTCCCCTACTTGCTGCGAATAAACTCAATAAATGTTTTTTTTTTTTTTAGTTTTAGCTGACAACAATAGGCGTTTTTTATTTGTTTCTTCTGCTAAGTTAAGTTAAGTTAGCTCCCCCACGAAACAAACCTGTGCTCATGACTCCCGACTTGCTCCTTTCTCCATGAAGTAAATATACTTTCAATGGAAATGCGAGAAAATCCGCGTTTTTTCCTCCTTCGACACCATTGTCAGTTTGAAAAAGCCTCCGGGGAGAAGAGAAGGTGCAGATCCATCGCTGTTAGCTCCTTATCTGGTGTGCGGAGGAGCGGATAAACTCTTTACGCCTGTTACTTTTTCCATTTTTCCCGAAGTTTTCAGCCACACGGTGATTTTTTTTTTTTTTTCCTCCAACAGCGTGAAGCGCGACACAACAGAGCAATCCACTTCCGTTTGAGGGGGTTTAAAAAATAAAATCTAATGTTGAAGAACACCCGGTCCAGTTGTTGGAATCAAACGCAAAAGCACTGACATGAGCAAACAAATATGATACGTTTTATATTTCTAGTGACATTAAATGTTAGTTGCTTCTTTTTTTTATGGAATTTTCCCTTCACAGCACATTGTTTATGCGTGTGCATTTTATTTTGAAAGCGATTTCCGGTGGCTGTGGCTGTTATTCAGCTAACTTTACACTCGATTTCCTTTCCGAGCGTTCCAAACGGTTGCGCCGAACGCCTCTCGTGGCCACGCGAGGCGCTCTACTAGACGCGAGCGCTTTGTCCGCGGCTCGCGAGGAAGCGGCGGTTGGAGACGAGGTGTATGTCGGGAGTTGTAGTCGTTACGCGAAGTTTAGCGAAAACCGGCTACTACCAACTTCCCAACGGCCGTTCCCCGACCAACCGCCGCCTACAAGTCCAGAATGCAAAACGGGCTGCGTGTAGATGGCGGAGAGCAATGACTGAGGAGTTTGATGAAGATGTGGTATTTGAGGTTTGTACTGCCGCCATTGTTCTTTTATCGAAAAGACGTAGCCGATGCTTTGTCATACCGATTCATTTACGGCAGCTTTTAGCTTAGCATGAGCAGCCCCCCCCCCTGTCCTGTTGCCGTCCACCGACAATCCCAAACAAATCCACATTTCTGGCTGGCTGCGACCTGCGTGTCTGCCAAGGAGCTTTGTTGGTCATGAGAGGGGCTGAGCTGGGTTAGGGTTGCGCATTGTTTTGGGTTGTGTTTCGGCATTATTAGGCTGGGGTGGGGAGGACCAGATCCAATGCGTCGGTTCTGGAAAAAAACCCTCCACACACACACACACACACGCGTAGCTATTACATCTGGATGGTGACAACATGAGCTGCGTGTGACAATGCATGTGAGTAGCGTTTCATTGTGAGCTATCTGTGCATGTTAAATAACATTAAACTGTCCCTGAGGGCGTCAAAAAACACAGCAGAGATGCTAAAGTAATGTTTTCTGAGCAACAGAGGATCAGCAGCTGTTTGGGGGGGGAACTGGGTCAGGCATCTTTTGGACAAATTATAGCACGGGGTGTTTTTTTCCCCTCCTCTCTGCTTATTTCATGGTTGATTTTAGTTGTGAGCTTTCTTTGTTCAGGGGGGAAAGAAAATAGCATCGTCTGTGTTTATACCTCCTTGGAGAAAGATTGGGTTGTTAGAGGATGAATTGTGCTTACATTCAGTCCAGTTTCCATGCAGGAGAGAGGGCTTAAGGGGAATTTATTATATATTTTTTTTGGGTTGCATTGAGAGAGGCTCAAAACGCAGCCCTGGCATCTCTTGTGGAGTGTCTGTTGATTTACAGATTCACATGTGAAGGCATTCCTCCCAGAACAAGAAAAGTGAGGCTGCATAGAGGAGAGACGGGGACTGTTGGGGGTGAGGGTGGAGCCTCAACTTCAGCTGATGGATCCTGAGGGAATAGTAGACGGCGATGCTCTTTCCCTCGCTTATCAGATCCAGGACACCTTTGGATTCACACTGGGGGAGAAACCAGGACAAAATCAGGATGAGTGTCAGCTCAACCCACGTCAGACTGATGGCCTTTTTGCCACATTTTCTCTCTTTCCTCTCCTCTCTGACGATTTGGCGCTATTTTATCTGTCTCCTGCTACTCCGTTCCCTCCTCCTTCTCATCTGTCATCGACTCAATCTCTCTGACTGTCTCTCTCTTTTTCCCTTTGCAGAACTCCCCTCTTTTCCAGTACCTGCATGATCTAGGGCACACAGACTTTGAGGCATGCCCAACGGCGTCACAGGAGGAGGAATATGGCGGACAAGAGGGAGACCTCACTTCTTCCGACGAAGATCCACGGAAAACTTCAGTGAGTTCCTCCCGTCATGGAGACCAATATCACACACATCTGTTCTCTCCTCTTGCACTGTTGAAAATATTTAATTTCTTCATCTATTTAATGAAAAATGAAACATTTTAGCCGGGTGAAACACTTAAATCATGTAAAAATACATGTAAAACATACTAAAACAAACTCAGTGACATAAAATAATAATCATATTAGAGCTCCAACTAATAATTGTTTTCGTTATCATTTGCATCAATTGACAATATAGAGAATTATTAATTGTTTTTTCAGTAAATCGATTAATTGTTTTGTCCATAAAATGTCAGAAAATATAGAAAAATCCACCTAGAAGTCCAGAATCTAAAAGTATTATATATAGTTTTGTATATTTACTCTAATGGAAGACTAAGAAAACAAGCAGATATTTACTTTCGAGAAGTTCAAACCTGTGGATTGTGAGAATGTATTGTTAAAAAAAAAATACAGATTAATTTTCCTGCACTAATAAGTTGATTAATTTATTGATTTTGATCATCTATTTAAGCCATTTCTTAAGCAAAACTGCCAAAACGTCTCTTGTTGCAGGTTCTGTAATGTGAGAATTTCCTGGTTTCTTCTGTTTCATTTCATTGTAACATCCTTGAATACCAGCCTGAGCACTACATTACTCAAATATCAGCTGTAGATCATAAAAATACAAACAAATAAAGTCTCCGTCAACAAAGACTCCATCAGGTCAAACAATCTGACCTGGGGCTGTGTGCGTGTGTGCACGTGTGATTGTCACTGTTGGACTTCTCTGCAGTCAGACAGAAAGTAATTAATTTGACGATTGATTCCAAACAGTGACACATATTGGCACGCAATCACCCACAGACTTGTTGTTTACGTGCTTCGCTTTCAATCAGACAAGACATGGCAACAAGGGCTTCATACGCACAGATGCAGGTATTTTGTGTTGCGTGTTCTTTACTCTGTAATCACACACAGCAGATTCCTTTTCGTTTGTAGAGAGACAACATCTCCCTCTCTTCCATCTCTCTCCTGCTGTTGTTCTGATTTTTTGAAGAGATAGCCCAAATGCGATTACTGCGACCGTACTCTGCTTTCTCTCTGACGTTATATCTGCCTCTGCGAGTGTCCTCTTTCAGACTGTGTGTGTGTGCATGATGCTGATGTTCATGACTGTTTTTAATGGATCTGTGTGCACGTCATCTCTGCAGTCAAAGAAACTCGTGAAGTATGTATAGTAAGTAAGTTGAATAGCACTTGCGTTTAGCCATTGATGACTCTAGTTTGAGTCGGCCTGTGATTCATACAGACGAGTAATGCGTCCTGGATCCAGGATCACAGGCTCGGCCTCTCCTCGTTCTCCCCCTCCTCCCTCTTGCGACGGGAAACGGCGTTGTGTTCGCTTCGTTCAGGAACTTTCCGTATGTGTCACGCTTCCTCTCTCGTACAATGTTGTTCTAAGGAGTTAAGGAGGATGAGGGATTTCGAGCGAGGCAGGAAAGGTTGCGGGTCGTCCCTTCGGTGACCGGCTTCCTGGAGCTCAGATAAAGTCGGAGCCGAGGCAAAAACACAACCTCGTTCACGTAGACCGACCACGGTTTGTCTTTATTTACGTTATCGGTAAAAGGCCAAACAGCAGCTCACATACACTATGTGTGGTATGTACGGTGTGTGTGTATGTCCATGACCTGATCTGTTGATATTATGGAGGTCTTTTAAATTAATGTGTATGTTGAAGCTGCTGATATTTAAGTACCATTAGGCCAAAACGTATGCATGTGGGGTTTAAATGCTGTTCCCTCCTTCAACACTTTGTTCTTGTGAACATCAGTACAGGGCGTTTTATCAAAGTCCTGGATGTTAGGTTGAAACTTTTCCTAAATAAATAAATAAAGTGTCCCATGCTGACAGATATGAGACTAAATATAGTTTTATTGGATATTTGGTTTAGCTGTTTATTTGAGGTAATACTGAATAAGCAAATAAATGATCATAAAAGTACTGTCGCCAGTATAGGGCTGCAACTAACAATCATTTTCATTGTCAATTAATCTGCTCTAAACCAGTATATAAACTGGTTCACAGTACATACCAGTTCTAAGCTACTCCAATCCCTTCTCTCCTAATCTCCATGTACAGTATACAGGCTTTAAGGGCTGCGACTAATTATTATTTTCATTATTGATTCATCAGTTATTTGTGTAGTCTGTAAAATTGGGGGAAAAAATGCGCCCAAAGCAAAGTCTTCTTCACAAAGCTTTAGAGATATTTCAGTTCACAGTTATATCGGCGAGAGAAAATCAGCCAATTTTCACATTTGAGAAGCTGGAACCAGAGGCATTTTTACTGATTGATAAGTGACTTTAACGGTTAATCAGTAATCAGACACACAGCCGTCTCATAAAAGCTCAACTATACGCATTAAACAAGATATAACGTGTTATATAATTGAGCTTTAGTAGGTGGATTTTGTTACCTTTGGACAGGCTATTCTTCATCCTAAACTAATGTCACATCTGTTAGCTCTAGCTTTAGACTGAACTAGAGTGTGTCAGTCTACTCATCTAATTCTTTAAAGCTGTCTAAAGCCAAAATGTGCATTTTCCAATGTCTCCATTGTTCCCTTTTAAGCACTACCATGTTTTACACATAAACGTAGCCTTGCTATCACATACAGCTGTCTGTGTTTCCATCCTCTCACGTAGTAGAAATCAGTCCAGTGTGTGTGGACGCTGGAGTGTTCCCTGTGTGACAGCAGGAGAATACTGATGAGCAAGAGCTAACTGTGCCAGGGTATTATACAGGAGTGAGAGTACAGGTATATGTGAGTTAATCTGTACAATGTTTACATCATCTCTCTGTAGTACCGGATGGGATTAACCGCTTTGATACTACAGAGAGAGAGACTGAGCAGATTTGTGGCCTACTTTGAGGCTGATGACTGTGTGTGTGTGTTGTGTGTTGTGTGAATGCTCAGTCCTGAAGCTCAGTCTCTCAATCAGTAATCAATACTACTGCTGCCTTTAGACTAATAACACTTGTGCTTTACCCCACCCAGAAAAAGGTCAGCTCACAGGCTGCCCAGTCTGAATCAATAGCCCCATGCTTCTGCTGTGAACTGGAGCACACACACACACACACACACACACACACACACACACACACACACATTTACAGGATGTTATGATTCTCAGGACTGTCTTTTTATTTTAACATTAACAGAAGAATAATGGATGTATTATTATTATTAAAGCCTCAACATAAAATGAGTCCCATTTTCAAACAAAGCATTTCACGGACGCCACGAAACACACTAAGCAGATTAGTGAATAGCAGATCCTATTTATGATTAGGCATTACACAGTTTGGGATTTTGTTTTTAGGGTCTTAGCATTTGCAAAAAAAAAAAAAAAACACGTGCAACATTTCGAAACAGCCCGAAGTTTCATTATGCATCAAAATGTCAGTGCACTTTAAAATGTGAGGCACAGTGTCACACTTGGTTGGGACTAGATGTCTCAGACTGTTTACAGAGGGAATTCATGGCTGGGAATGCTGAGTCTCGTAGGAAGCAAGAATTAAAACAGAAGTGTGTGTGTGTGTGTGTGTGTGTAGTTTCTGTGTAGTGTCTTCAGTGGAAGATGTACAAACTTGTTTCTTTTTCTGGAACTAAAAGAATCCTTCCTTTCCGTCTGACAACAATAAAAGTCTGAGTTTTACTGATGCCGAAAATGTAAACATTCAGTTATAATGCCGAAATGGGAATTCACTGAAAACTGAAACTGGCTGTGTGGTTTTTGTTGTGCCACAGAAGAGCTATATAAGACCCGGGAGGGAGTGTTTTTTTGTTTTTGTTTTTTTTACAAACACACATTGCACTTATTGTTGTTGCCTGAAAGAGTTTGTCTCCTGGGATACTCCTTTGAACCACGAGTGTGTATGTTTGTGAGTGCAGACAGTTGTTATTTAATGGATGTGTGATTCCTGGCAAATAGAGCCGAGCTAGAGGAAAACACACTAAAATGACTGAAAGACTTTATTTTTTGTATCTGTAATATACTTTAAGTGATCCACTAGGGGCTGCGTCAGGGCATAAAATAATGGAATTCTCTACATAAAACTGGATCCTTTACTTAATTGACTGAATTATAACCTCTCCCCCCTGTATGTCATTTGCAGGGAGGACGCTTATGGAGACTGGCTGAAGCCTTGTGGAGATGGAGTCCGATTCACCAGGCGGCTGCATCTCGTAAGCTGGGGCAGCAGCTGGTAGGTTGAATAGCAAACAGAAAGGAATGCTGGCACTGAAATCTGCAACTTCACCTTGTTTTATTTTGAAAGGCATCTCTTCTTTCTAAGCACTTTTCCCCCCCCACACGTTTCTTCTTTCTGGTAGGACTGTGTGTTCGGCCAGTACTCGGTGAAGTGCATTTTAGACCAGGACGTGCTGCTGCAGGAGGACGTGGAGCTGATCGAGCTGCTAGACCCCAGTCTGCTCACCCTCGACTCGTCGCCCTCTGGCTCGTGCAGTCGAGCGAGCGCCCTGCCCAGACCGAGCCTCATAGCCAGGCCCTCCCTATGGTACATTGTTCGGAAAGAATCACACAGCTGTACAGTGAATGGGCAACATAATAATTGGCTCTCCGGAGAATATAATGCATTTCCAATACAACACTAGTACAAACTGAAACTCTGGCCTCCAAAATAATAGAGTGACCTCGTGACCTTCTTCGCAAGAGTAAACATGTCAGCTATGATATTTTATTCGAAGGAAAAGTCTCTACAAAGAAGTATTGGGTTGTGTGATATTAGTAGGTGTAGGTTGGACGATAAAACTAAGGCAGTATGATCATAACAATAGAAAACATTTTAAAGGAATAGTATTTTTATTGAGAGATCCTCCTTTAGAGCCACAGAAGACATGAAACATCTGTTTTCAATAAACAGAATTCCCTGTGACTTGTAAATCAACTTTGACATGTAAAACTGATGGATTGTCCTTTTGATCCTGTTAAATTAACCGATAATGGTTCCACTAATAAAAAATGACTTCCTGTTCTCCTCACTCAGGGACATGGCGGGGCTGGTCGGCCTGACTGCTGTGCTGCTGGGTCTCTGCTCCGCATCCGACGGCCTGTGGTCGTTGGCTGCGGCCCCGTGGGGCCTTGTGATGCTGGGCTGGGTGGGGCTGCGGGGGATCATACTGTGGAGGCAGGGCCGCATGCAGAGAGCCGTCCACGCGCGAGTCACACAGCTCCAGGCTCTGGTCCACAACAGCAAGACTCTGACCGGACTGTCTCGCAAAGCCCTGCGATTGGTGCAGGAGACGGAGGTCATCTCTAGAGGGTTCACCCTGTAAGTGTTCTCGTTTTATTTATTTTTTTGTGTCAACCTACATGCACATCACCCAATCACTATAATGCTAATGCGCATTTCTTATCATGTCTCCAACTGTCACTGCCTGGCTCAAGCCTGCTCAGTTAATTCACTCCTTTGTTGGCAGTGTGTTAGTTAACTTACCTTCTCAGCTAGTGTGTCTAGTGGTGTTTAATTATTTATGTTAGCACTTATTTTAGACCACTGTTTGTCTCTGTCTGTGTGTATAGCTGTAGCATTGTCTATATAAAAACACTGTTTATCTAGCGTCACACCTCAATCACCAAGTAAGTTCGAGGAATAGTATTTGGGAAATGCGCATTGTTCACTTTTTTTTTAGAGGAGACGTTCAGTGCCACTCTTACGTCTGTACAGTGGTTATAAAGTTAAAGCAGCAGCTGATTTGCTTAACTTAACATAAAGACTGGAAACAGGGAAACAGTTAGCATGGCCCCGTCCACAGGTAACACAATCTCCCTACTTCGGTTTCTGGACACATTAAACAAATGAGATACAACATGTTAATTATTGAGCTTTAGAAGTGCTGGGAGGTAGATTGTGTTACCTTTTCCAGCCTTTGTGCTAAGCTAACCAGCTGTAGCTTTTATTGCTTCATGTCATGTAACTCAGAAAGCAAAGCGTATTTCCCAATTATTTTTATTCATATTGTCTTGTTCGTCACTCCTGTGTAGTGGTCATGTTTGAAACGTCTCGGTTTGTCAGTGTCGTCTTTAGTGATGTGGCGTTCAGTGTTGTGTGTGCCCCCCTGCCTCTTTGGGACGTCTCCACAGTTGTATCACATTTCACTTGTCAAGTTTGCTCGACAGGGTGAGTGCGGCCAGCTCCTTTAGCAGGGCGGGGCCGGGGGCGATGCCACGAGGCCAGCAGCTGATCGGACTGAGGAAGACCCTGTACCGGGCCCTCCGCTCAGCCTTCAGAGCCTCACGTAGAGCCACCTGTCACATGCTCAAGGCATATCCTTTATCTGGAGAAAAAAGGCTTAATAACTCAAATAAGTCTGTCTTCGTGCTGTCACGGCCTCTTTTGTAGTGACACGGGAGTAACTAGCCTGGCTTTGGTGTTATTAGTTAAAGCAGAGTGTATAAATATTGTGTTTCAACAAAGACTTGTTTTAATAAACTGGCAGAAGCTTATATTTTGACAAACAATTCCTTCCTCTTATTCCCTTATTAGTTGGGTCACTGAACAACAGTCAACTGCATAACATCTCCTCTAAATGTTCCCAGGACCTCTTTTGATGTCATTCAATTGTTGACAATTTAAAGTCATAAATGTGCATTTGAAATAAGAAATAGGCCTCTGTCAACGTGAGGTAATCTTTTTCTGAGTCAAGATTAGGTGCACACAGAAGTGTGATGTGTCCTTAACCCCTCCCAACGTTCCCTCTGAACTCTGAGATCGATAACGTGACCAACTATGTGTCTGCGGTGCCTCTGAAGGAGCTGGGGCTCGGCCTGGGTATTGAGCACCTGGGTGATGAGCAGGCTCAGGAGCTGACGGATGACTACAGCCTGCCTGCCCTGAAGGTAAGACCTGAGGATCGAGCACAGGTTACAGGTGGAGCACTAGTGCAGGAGTGGAAATAGTGAACCATTGTGATATGCAAGATATGCAGGGATGCTTGAATGTGGCTATACAAAAAACGTGTAGCTTTATCCTTCATGAAGAATACTATATTAAAGAAATAGTTTGACATTTTGAGAAATCTGCTTTTTGCCAAGCGCGATGCCAGTCTAATGTCAGGTAGCTTAGCTTAGCACAAAGACTGGAACCAGTGGGAAACAGCTAGCCTAGCACCTTGTGGACACAAAGATAACAAAGTCCGCCGACCAGCATCTCTAAAACTTGTGTCTTGTTTGTTTAAGCCATACAAAGTCATGGGTAGGTTGCCGGGCAACCAGCAGAGACCACAGGAAGTGAGATAGAGAGGTAGTCTGGTACATAACCTCCTGTAAAACCACAGTGTTGTTGTTTTCACCCTTTGGTTTTTGTACAGATTAAACAGACATGATGTTAATTAGTGAGCATTAGATGTGGTGGTAGGCAGATTCTGCACATATATTCATGAACTCACCTCATTTTGCTCTTTAAGTAGAAGGACTGAACCAAGCAGCTATTGGCAGTTTAAAGCATAAGTCAAAGCACAGAATGGTATTATGATGAAGGGCTTGTACTATAGTCATAAATCAGTACATTTGATGTTTGTTGTTTTGTCCTCCTGTAGATGCTGTTCCAGCTGTGGGTGGGACAAAGCTCTGAATGTTTCCGTCGTCTGGCTCTCCTACTGTCACCCCAAAGAATAGAAGAGCCAGAAGAGGGAGCACCCAAAGGAGACACTTCCCCTCCTCCTCCTCCTCCTCCTCCTCCCCAACTGCTGCACAGGTCCATCGCCGCAGTGACCGAGCCCCTCAGTCACGCTCTGGCCAGCTGCCTAGGAGAAGTGCAGCGCAGCTACGACTTCCATCGACACTTTGAGACCCAGCTGAGGGCGACGGGCTCTGACAGGACGGGGAGAGTCAGGGAGAAATGCCGAGAGCTCAACACCCTGCACACTTCTATCCGAAGCCTGCAGCTGCACCTCAAAGCCCTGCTCAGCGAGTGAGACACACACACGCACACACACGCACAATCCTGACTGTCCCCATTCTACACTTCCCATAAGATTAGACTTTAATAACTAGTATGGGGAAACTGGGTCAATCCATCAGCAGAGCAATAATAGTACATAGTGAAGAGTAAAGACATAAATAAGGGTATAGAAATTGAAGTTGAATGTAATATAGATTACACCAATTCCACTTTGAGCCAAGTAGTGCTACACTGGGCTAAAATAAAATAAATTACAGCAATATAATATAAAGTTGCGAAAACATATTTCACGGGCGTAAAAAAAAAAAGTTTTCACATTCAATCTGTACTGTCAACTTTCCTCCTCCTCTTCTGTTTTTGCTACCATCAGGATGATCATACTGGAGGACGACCTGGAGAAACTGATGGTGTCCAAGGAGCCGACGGAGTTGACCTTCGAAGGATACCAAGACCTCAGTGACCGGCTGCACCAGCTGCACCCTCACATGCAGGCCAGCACCGGCTGCTGGGAGGACACCATCACCCAGGTGGAGCGCATGCTGAGACGGGCCAACGCCTGTCCAGGTGAGCTGGTTCCAACACAAACACAGCCTAGTGTATTAAAATACCCTGTTGTTTTAAGCATTCATGTTACTAACTATAAAAACAACTTAAAGGAATAGTTCAACATAGTTTCCACTCTCATGTCTGTTTGTAAAATATGAAGCTACGGCAAGCAGCACAGACAGCAAGCGTGGCTCTGTCCAGAAGTAATAAAATCCACCTACCAATTTCTCTTAATTTCACCAAAGCACACAGTCATCACTATGAAGTTGCCAGGCAACCAGCAGACGCCAGCAAGTCACTGCTCCCAGCCAAGAAACAGATGCAGCACATAACTCCCCATAAAGTCATAACTTCTTGTTTTTACATTTCTGTTTTTGTATGGATTAAACAAACAAGAAATAACATGTTAAATGAGCTTTAGACGAGCACATCTTGTTGCTTCACATTTACAAACATGTATGTGAGTTGTATCGATCTTCTCATCTAACTCTCTATTTTATTTTATTTTTCAAACTGGGCCCTGTCATAAGCTACACAAGCTACATATACTACTTAAAGGTTCAATGCTAGTTCACAACTTTTTCCTCATATATTTTCCTTCCTTTCTCAATATGCCATAAAATATATACAAGACTGAACACTGACACCCCCTTTAGTGGTATATTTGGTACAGGGTTATATTTACACAGGGCCTATTTTTACTGCAGGAAGTTTTTTCTTTTTTGAGTTCCTCCTTCCTTTACCATGACTCAAGACTATTGCCTGTCATAGAGGAAGGAACTCCCTCAGAATATAGGACAAGAAACAGACCAACCAGAGCTAACACAGTGTTGTTGAGGTCATCAGTTTTTTTGTTACAATAACGTCGGTGCACAACATCTCTGCAGGTAATAATGAGTGTCTGGAGCAGTGTGGTACCCCCGAACCCGAGATTCCAGCTTCTCCTCCATCCTACCCGTTGATCCTGGACAGAGACCCTGTCCCAGAAGAGCTGGTAAAATAAAATGACTACCTTCTGTCTGACATTTTGCATTGTGTGCCTCTATTTATACCTGTATTTAATTATATTCACACCAGAATTCCCTCAACGCAGTCAAGATTTCCGTACTGTAGGGCCTTTAAAAAAATTTAATAACTTGTCTTTTCCATTCCGATCCTCCTCATCTGTTTCCCCGATGTCAATCTCTCCTGCTGTTTCATTTGACCAGGAGTGGGAGGCCTATGTGTCCGACTCCGACTCTGACGGTGAAGGCCGAGGTTCTTGGTCTGACATGTTGTCACCGGAGGAACGGGAGCGGCAGCGCCGGGAGAGGGAGGAGTCCCGTCGCGTCCTGTCAGAGCTCAAAGCTGTCCTGGGTTTCCGCGCATCAGAGGGGGAGAGGATGAAGAGGAAGCAGCTGCTCTTCAACGACCAAGGTCTGCACCTACCCATGTCATGCCTCTGCTTTGATAAATTTGTTGGTATTGTTCATATTTTTGGAATGAGGCTGCAGTTTGTTTGTTTGTTTTGTTGAGCGATTGAGAATAAAGAGCAATCTCTACAACGCTACTGAGTTTTTCCAAATGTATGACAAGAATCAATTTGTAATTTTCTTTGAAAGCAAGGTACATTTGTTGTTTTCCAGTCTTTGAGAATCTGAAAGCTGTCTTTGTTTGTCTACACAATGTCATAAATTAGTGAAACTACTATTATAATTTCCCAGAGACCAAAAATGACATCTTCAAATGTCTTGTTTTGTCCGAGCAGCTGTCTTAAACCCAAAGATATTTAGATTACAATGGTACAAAACAAAAAAGCTGAAAATCCTCACACTGCAACCAAATGTTTTTTGCTAAGTTGCTAAAACTATTAACTGATCATCAAACAGTTGTCTGTTTTAGTCCAATAAAGTTTTAGTTGCTGATGCATCAGTTCAACCCTAAATTATATATTTTCTCTTCTCTCTTGCAGCTGCTGTGACGCCTTCAGCTCACAGTGAGAGTTCAGATCCCGTCACAAAGCTGTCTGACGCTCTGATTTCTCTGGGATCGGTAGAAACTGGCGATGACGAAGGAAACCACCTTTCAGAGTCCCCTGCAGGAAACGAAGGGGAGGAAGAGGAAGGAAGAGATGGCAGGGCGAGGCCTGACCCCTCCACAGAGGCGGCGACGGAGTTCAGCTGTGGTTTGGAGGCAAAGGAAGGGGAGTTAGGAGGAGCTTCAGTCTGCACAAGGGGAGGAGGAGGAGCGTCCGAGCTGCACCAATACGACGGCGTCCTGGCGGAAGGGGACACCGAGAATGGTCTGGACTGCTTCCTGATCCCTAAAGTCCCTGCTGTCTCTGTAATGGACAGACTGACGGAGATCCACGGCTCGGAGGCCCTCAGCTTCAGCTCCGCCCTCGCCAGTCAGGTGGCGGCTCGCTCACAATCACTCATCAAAATGGAGGAGCAGACGTTCGGAGACGACGACTATGATGGTGTGGATGAGGAGGAGGATGAAGAGAGCGACAGACGAACGCCCGAGAAGGACTAAAATGAAACCCCCCGCTGCTTTAACCAAGCACTGAGCAGAGACTGTATTTATGTCTGATTGTCTGGGTGTCTTTTATCGATGGGTCTGTGTTACATCTTAACTGTTTTTTGGTGTGGAGGTACCTCAAAATTTTACGCCACTCTCTATTACCCATCCGTCCATGTTACTGTACATTACCCACGATTCTTACTGCTCTTTCTGCTGTTAAAACTCAGGTACCAGAACCACTAAAAACAAACCATGACCTTACAAGTGTTAAGGTCAGAAGATCAGAATGTCTACAGTTTACTCGGTTACATCCACATAGTGTATATTGGTCACAATCGGTAGATGTAGGAAAATCGAAGACTGCGAGAAACAAGCGACGGGCTCCACGCGTAAGAAAATGTGTAATGATGTGTTATAGGATTGTTTGAGAAGATTTTTTTGTATTGCAGTTTTCTCATAAGTCACTGTAAACGAAGCTCTCCAGTCTGAGTTACTGTGAGGAAGTTTTGGGGCTGGAAGGAGGCTGAGCGCATTATTCTGAGATACAGATGTATGCGATCAGACACGGATTCGCCCGGGGAATTAAAGCGAAGACCTGTCCACGTGATTTTAAAATGCGTAATCTTAAACTACAAAGTCAAGCTTATCCCGGGGCTTTATGTAACCTACAGAGATTATAGGAAAGCGGAGAGAGAGCTAACCGCTGTAAAGCTACGGTTAATTTATTTGACCTAAATAAGTAAACAATACCATCAGCGCCTGCTATCGGGTCGGATTCCCCTTGAAATCAATGAAACAAGACACTACCACTGTTGTCCACAGAGACCGCCAGAATCAACACAGAATGAAACTAGTAAAAAGTAATTATACTGTCTAGTATAAAGTAAAAAGTCCTGCATTCAGTATCCAACAGAACCTAAATATTGCCAGCGATATGTAGCAACGGCAATACAAGTACTACATTTTTAAACAAAAAAAAAAAGGATTTCAGAGACTCAAAATTGTACTTTAACTATAGTACTCGAATGTACTTTCTACTTTCCACCACTGCAGCTGGTACATTGGATGTTTTAGTCCGAATAAAAAAAAAACCCAATCCAGCGAATTTGTGTGAACGACCGCGGGCCGAAACTTTCGCTTCTATCTGAACACACCTCAAAGCAGAAGGTTGAACCCAGCTGACATAACTTCTTATAGGCAGATAAATGTAAACACACAAAAAGGCTGCGTCCACACTGCAGAACTGAGCGATTGAGACTTTGCAGTGTGAACGAAGCCAAAGTTGTGAGGGAGCTCTGCAAGAAGAGGAAGCGAGATGTTATTTTTACTATCAGCGCTTTTATTTTTATCCATCTCTTTACTCTCTGAGTGGAAAACAATAGGGGGTAACGGTTACTCGGACACATAGCCCCGACCACACGTCCACGATCCTATTTCAAAATAACATATTTGGAATACGACACTATTGTATGTAAGAAGAACTCATAAAAGGACTGAAACTCCCTTTTTTTTTTTTTTTTTTTAAAAGCGTCTGTGTTTACAGGGGCACACTCGGCGGAAAGATAAGGAACTTGACACTTTATGGACTGAATTGTGTGGCATGAATTCAATGAACTGTGCTGCTGTGAGGTTTCAAATCAAATACCTGTACGGGTAATTAAAAAAAAAAAAAAAAGATAAAAAGAGGTTGATTTTCTCTCATGTGAGGGCAATCTATAACTTTATGTTTCATATGAAGTTGCCATAAGAGTCTGACAGCCCTGGTGTATGCCCCCCCCATCCCCCTACCCCCTCTTCCTCCACCTTCCTAGTCTTTCTTGTCACCATGTCTGCCTTGTCCTGACCCGTGATGGGGTCTAACCCAACCCCCCCAACCCCCCTCCTGCATTTTCCACCCTGAAATAAAATACCATTCTGGAAGTGTTCGTTGTATCCTGAAGTCTTTTTTTCTAGCGCTCATGTTTCAGAGACTCTCACTCTGCTTTAAAGAGGGGGGGGGGAGGTAAGAAACAGGTTTGGTGAGTTACCTGATATGTTTTGTGGGATTTTGCATTTGTCTCAACCTCAACAGCTGCTCCCCCCCTCCTTTTTAAAGCCACTCCTGCCTGCGGAGACTTACATACAGACCTGATGTAGTGGACTAAAAGACTGAGCATGTGAGTGCCCTGTCTTTGGATTTAATGCGTTTTAAGAAGGGAAGCTCCATATTTCAGTAACTCTAGCTCTAGTTGGGCATTAAAGGCATCAGCTGAGGATCTGACTCTCTCTCTATATCTATATAAAGCCACACATACTGAAACTGCAGCAAACTGCATACATGCTTCTAAACATAAAGCACCACACGGCTTTAATAGTAACATTATTTTATTAGGTTGTTTGCTGTTGTTGTGTTGCCACCTAGTGGTCAATTCTGTAACTCCCACTGCTGCTTGTGGCAAATGTAGAGGTTTTTTTTATCATCATGGATGACAATGATACGGTGGCCCTGAGGTGCAAAACACAACGGCAAATCAGAAAACACAATGACAAAAAAACAAAACAAAAAAGAAAACACAAACAAACAGAAACACAACACAAAAAAACACAACACAAAAGAGAAAACACAACACAAATCAGAAAACACAACGACATTAACCAAACCGGAAAAGGTAGGTACCCTCGTCGCTGATTGGACAAAAGAACTGGTCCGTCCTTTGAACCGGAAACACAACACCGCCAGACCTATGTGTTCAAGTTGCCAAATCTGAAAATTCAAACCACTAAATAAGGAAAATATTGTATTAATACGTCCATGTTAATGTGGGATACCTAAGAGAGGTAGAAACAGGGGTTCCAATGGTCCATATCTATGTGTTTTCTGATTTGCCGTTGTGTTTTCTCTTTTTGTGTTGTGTTTTCTGATTTGCACCTCAGGGCCACCGTACAATGAGGGTGCCAAACTTAAAATATTTGTATATTTCTGTGCGAAAATGAACTCTTTTATAAATAACCATGTCTAATGTTATGTGTTGTTTTATTTATTTTGCTCACAGCTTTAATCAGTTTGGTTTTATCTATGCTAGTAAATATTACAGCCTCTCATACTCTTGTCTGCAGTGTATTGATGATATTGGGAGATTTCCCCTCCAGGCTCGCTGCTCAGTGCTCAAACTGCTTCAGCTGATTCGGCATGTTTTACTTTCTGCTGCCTTCACGTGCACCCAATAAGCTCCGATTTCTGAACACGCTTGGTCATGAGCTGGCAAAATGTGTTTGATAGGATGTTTGGGGTGTTTTCTTTAGAGCACAGTGAAGGCAGAATGTGATAGAATTTCTTTTTCATGTGTTTTTGCATCATGAAACATAATTTAATGTGTTTATTTGTTAAAAAAAATAGTAAAAAAGAGAGAAATAGAGCAGCCAAACCTAATTAGGGTCTTAACCCTCAAAAGGGGACAAAAGGGTCTTAGCATTTCTTATTTCTTACTACTGTTCGCACCACTAAAAGCATCATATAAACTTAAATGGCAACCTGCATCATAACATTATAATAACAGCCTTAATTATAAGATAAGATGTTTATTTTCAATCCCCTGTAGGAGGATTTCAAGTTTCAAGCACAGGGGAAATATAGTGCAAACAGCAAATATAATATTATATATATATATAATAAAAAATAAAATATAATAGTGTTTACAATAAAGTTGAATGTCTAGAGATTATATATCATCTGCTTACATGATCCTAACTTTTCTTTCACACAGTATACGTGAAGAATTAAAGCAAATTAATAGAACTACTAATATTAATCCTCTCAATAATAACAATAATAATAATAATAATAATAACAAATGCATTAATGAAAGTTATAAATAAAATAAAAAAAACCCCGAGTGTCCGTGAACGCAGCATCACACACAGCACTCCCACAGTCCATCGCGCTTCCTTTTCCAGCAGCGCCTGTGATCATGGCGGACGTGGTGGCCGAGCAGGTAGCGGACCAGAAGCCAGTCCCGGACCGGGAGCTGAACGGCGAGGCGGAGGACAGGGAAGAGGCCGAGCCCGCGGAGGAGACGGCGAAGAAAAAGAAGAAGAGGAAGAAGAAGAACAAGTCCGCAACGACAGGTGAGGCTGGCTCGAGCGGGGTTCTTTGCTAACGAGGCTAGCGAAAGCTAATGTTACTTTTTTTTTTTTTTAAGAGCGAGCGTCAAGTTAGCGACAGTTAGCCGCGACGCACCCGGAAACCAGGGGACGACGCCTTCAAAATAAAAGTGTACAAGCGTTATTTTTGTTTTTGAGCAAAAAAAATAAATAATTGACCAGTTTAAAAATCGTACAGACCATAAAAAATGTTGTTATTCCTCTACGTTTCATTCGGTTTGTTATTTTAAAAAAATACTAAATATATATTATACATTCAAAAGTACGTTTTATTTATTTTTTTAATCAAAAGAGAAATTAAACATTCAATTTGACACAAGACAAACAGTATTAATGGAGAGCACACAATTGTTAGATTTTTTTACTGTTTGAAAAGGAGATTGTGTTGATAATATCACATTTATATATAGTTAATTAAGCATATATAACGAATTAATTAACACTTATGCTCGTCAGAAAAGCTGTACATTGCGACGTTTAATTTGAAAGTCTTGCCGGAAGACCGCTGTTGAAGCACGTCCAACTTGACGCTCCTCCTCATTAGCCATGCGGGTCGAGAGCAGTGTGGATTGTGTTGCTGTAGCGCCTGTCAGGCCTCATGAAACACGCCGGGCTTTAGTCAGATCCACATGCAGGAGCAGTGACATTGAACACAGTTGATGGGAGAAACAATTTACCGCCTGTAATGAGAGAAAACACAACAATCCGATGATCTAAATGCTCGTTTTACCAGCTGTTGTACTTGCCCACTGCGCTGAGCCGTAGCCAAGTTTTCCTGTTTCGTAATTACCCCTTTGCCAGAGTTATTATGTAAGAAAAACATTATGAACCTAGAACTAAAACTCCATTAAATCACCTGCAACATAGAGACATTTTAATAAATGTTTACAGCTTGCAGGACACACCCCAGGGTCGTTTAAAAGAAGTTTATTCCTGGTTATGAAATCAAAATCCTTTTGTTATTTAGTATAAAATATTACTTACCTGAATACCTACTTGTTGTGGAGAAAGAATAAATAGCACTACACCCTTAAACAAACCCAGAGAGAGACGCAGTGTTGGGGCTGATGTAATGAAGCTTTCGTGCAGAATTGTGGGATTTATTGTTTTAAAAAGTCAGGACATGATCGGTGTCAACTCCACTTTCTGCTACTGACTCATTTTTTGTTGACGAGCGACTCCCTTTTTTTAAAAACCCTCTTTACATCCGTAATGGTTAGTTAGAGCGGCTGCCACTCAGAGTAAGCAGTAATTAACCATCAAACAGCACACACAAAAACAACAACACAATCAGCTGCTCGTTTCTTCCTGTTAACTACACATTGTGTATATTATATTTATATTTTAATAGATGCTGTAACATTTAATATTTGTGTCTGCTGCATCAATATATTGTTATTGGGTTTGACGGATCCACATTAAACACAGTTTCTTCCACGAATGCACGACAATTATCAGGGCAGATGAAGGGGAAATTTGTAGTATTATGAAAGATGGGGATAATTAAATTACAGCCAATAAATGATTGGTAAATAATAATATGTATAGTATTTTATGTGGCTCAAGAGGTTGTTGGTTCGATCCCCGGCGCCTCCCGCCATCCGACAAAGTATCCTTGAGCAAGATACTGAACCCCAAAGATTATTTATCAGTGTCGCTGTATAAATTAAGTTAAATTTGGGGTACTGGCATCAGATTGGTATCGGTAGAGACGGACTTTATTGATCCCACACTGGGGAAATGCTACTTGTTACAGCAGCTCCAGATGTAACACAGCAGATAGGAAAAGAAGAAATACACATTAAATAACAAAATAAACTAGAATTAGGGTTGTATGTACAAACTATATACAGTATTTCTGTACAGATGTGAAGTTAAAATATATTATTGCACAGGTTACAGAAGGAAGAATCCTGCTCTAAAGGACGACGCCTATATAAGAATTAATGTTTGGATATCTTTATTGTTTTCCTACGTCGTCCTCTACTTTCCGCTGCCGGTGCTGAAACAGCAGCTTCTGACTGCCGCCGGTTGATTGCTTATTGGATTGTGTTTGTGCGTTCTTGCTTGTTAACGACTCTCCTCGCTCGCCGCAGGCGCCGAGGCCGAGGCCGATGGTGTGTCCGAAGTGACCAAACAGCTGGAGAAGCAGGCGATAGAGGACAAAGAGAAGGAGGAGGACGGCGAGGAAGGTGATTATCTAAAATAACGCACACAATCTTCTAGCTGACACACGTGTATTGACACACACATCAGGTGTAAACCTTACACTCGGCGTATTAAGGTTTTTTTTTTTTCCTCGCGCAGACGGAGACGATGGCGAAAACTCAGCAGGGAAAAAGAAGAAGAAGAAAAAGAAGAAGAAAGGACGTGAGTTGACCTGAATTTGAGTCGTTTGTGCTGCAAATAAAAACGTTTGTTCCTACTGCGGTGGTGTCTGACGGAGGGGGTGTTTTCTCTTTTCCTTCCAGCCAAATCACAGACTGATCCCCCGTCTGTGCCCATCTGTGATTTATACCCAAGTGGAGCATTCCCCATCGGACAGGAATGTGAATACCCCGTCTCACAAGATGGGTAAGAGGAGCGCACACATGAACCCCTGCTAGTATTTAGGCATATTCGTTGGTGTTGAAGCTCAGCTCTGGAAGCCATATCATCTTTAAAATAATAATAATTGGCTTTTTCTTTGAATTTATGCATTTTATTTAGCAAGCTGTACAGTTCTTGCACAAAATTCTGCTTGTTGTTTGTTTCTTTTATCTCTCCTTTCTGCTTTTTGTCTTCCTGTAAAGCACTTTGTAACTATTGAGGATTGTATTTGTAGGTCTTGTAAAACGTCTGAAATTGTTAGTTGAGGGTTATCTTGTTTAAAAAGCACTAAAAATATTACTAGTTAGTATGTTTGCAGGTGTAAAACTGCTAAATTTAAGTCTAAAATTAATTAAAATCAACATATCAGATATATTACATTTAAATTTGAACAACTTCCACTCACAGGTGGCCAGTATTCAAATATTCAAAATGTGTTTGTTAGTAAAATTTGGCATTGATAACCTTGCAGCTGTCTACTGTGCTACATTATGTGCTTCTGTGCAGGTTAGCCAGGGTTGCCACAGGGCCTGGAAAGTACTTGAAAGTCCTTGAATTAAACAAAAAAAAATCAAGTACTCTTTTATTTCTTTTTCTTTAAGTTTTATGTGAAAAACGGGTTCAAAATTGTGTTTTTCAGCACCGATGTTTTTATGTTTTCCAACCAAGAGAAAACACACATGCCTCTGACTTTAATTGGTTATTTAGATATTGATCACAATAAAGCAAAGAAAAGAAAAAAGTTCCGACTGTTGGGGCCTAAAAATGAAGAATGGTACAAAGTCTTGTATTTAGGTCAATATTAAAGTGGCAGTTTGATTCTGGTAGGTTGTGGCAGGCCTTAAATGTCTACTGCCGCTAAGGAAAGCCATTCAAGTCTTTGTATTGTACTGTGACGAACGTGAATTATAGGCCCTTAATTATGAAATATTTAGCCATTACATAAGAGTGGCAACCCTGATTGACTCATTGACCCAGGTCAGGTGATAGAGGCCAGCTGATGAGTCAGAAGCTTTTGTTGTTGTGTTGTAAAAGCAGTTCCTGCCTGCAGCGCTAAGTTAACGAGTTTACTTTCCCCTTTTCACGAGGCCCGTAATAAAAAGACGTATTGTTGTGTTTTTCTCCAAGCCGCAGCGCAGCGTGGCGTACGACCAACGACGAGAAGCGCGTGCTGGATAAAGCCAACGAGGAGGTGTGGAGCGACTTCAGACAGGCAGCCGAGGCCCACAGACAAGTCCGCCAGCACGTTCGCAGCTTCATGAAACCGGGCATGACCATGATTGAAATCTGGTGAGGCTGCCTTTACCGCTCCGATCCACTTCATCAGGAGTGTTATTCAGTTGTATATGTGGCTGAGGTGAAAGGGATAGGTAGTTCGGACCGCTGATTTGGCCCGATTATCAACATGGTCAGCTGTTGGAGCTGCAGCAGTACAACACACCAAACACATGTTTAGATTCAGACTTATACTTTAAGAGATATGATTATCTCTGACGTCAATCATAGAAAAAGGATGCTCCGTATAACCCCAGAAGTTGCCTGAGAATCATCAGGTTTTTAGGTTTTCTTCAGTATCGAAAAAAAAAGTTAAATCTCCTCATTTCGTTCATCTCAGCGAGCGATTGGAGGACTGTTCTCGTAAGCTGATAAAGGAGAACAAGTTGAACGCCGGCCTGGCCTTCCCCACCGGCTGCTCCCTGAACCATTGCGCCGCCCACTACACTCCCAACGCCGGAGACACCACCGTCCTGCAGTACGACGACGTCTGCAAGATCGACTTCGGCACGCACATCAACGGTACCACATGAATTAAGAGCTGCTTCAGCTGCATGTTTAAAAGCGATGCATTCAAGGCCCACTCTATATCCATAATGGGTTGCCACAAGAGGTTTTAATCACACTGAATAGCCTGAGTCGGTTCCGTCTTTGATTTATGTCTGCGATTGTAAGTGCAACAGCTTAAACGCAGACGTGTACGTCGACTAAAAGGTGGTCTGCTTCCTGCTCGGTGTCTGTTTGCAGGGCGAATCATTGACTGTGCCTTCACTGTCACATTTAATCCAAAGTACGACAAGCTGCTGGAAGCCGTGAGAGACGCCACCAATACTGGAATCAAAGTAGGACTAACGCACAAACACGAGAACACACCGTCACTCTGCTGTGTTTTGATCTGCACGGTGCCTGAAACTCACGACTTCCTGTTTGTCTGTGTGGCAGAACGCAGGCATCGACGTGCGCCTGTGTGACGTCGGAGAGGCGATTCAAGAAGTGATGGAGTCCTACGAGGTTGAGCTCGACGGCAAAACATACCAAGGTAGGTTCTTCTAACTACACACACAGCTCATAATGGATTTCCTGGTTATTATTGATCCCAATCTAATGCTGCATATTACTAAATCGGACACACCTGAAGGTCCTGTTTCAAAACATAGACATAATAACCAGTACAATCACAACACTGCAGTAGCTTTAAACCCCTGATGTCAGTTCACACATGCAGTAATAAATGTATTGTGGCCTTTTTTAATTTACAAAACTTGTTTCTTCTGTTCCAGTGAAGCCAATCCGAAACCTGAATGGTCATTCAATCGGTCAGTACAGAATACATGCAGGCAAAACTGTGCCCATCGTTAAAGGAGGAGAAGCAACGAGAATGGAGGTGAGCTCATCCCGACTGATGCTGATTTGTCTTAAACACTGGACATGTCTGGAATATTATGGCTCAGATATTTTAGTATCATTTTTTTAAAGGCTTTTTTTTTAGAATCTGGTTATTGATTGTGTGTTTTCACCCCGCAGGAAGGAGAGGTTTATGCCATCGAGACATTTGGCAGCACGGGTAAAGGTGTTGTTCACGATGACATGGAGTGCTCTCACTATATGAAAAACTTTGACGTCGGCCACGTCCCCATCAGGTGAGGCTTCCCTGTACACGCAGCATGCACCTTTTTTATTTTATTTTATGTTGGTTAAGTTGTTGATCAGTTAATTTATTAAGAGTCTGATACAACCTCTGGAGATCGATTCATTATCCTCTAAGCACCTAAAATAAATCACACAAATAATTCATAAATCAGTCACAAAGGACAGATAAATCACATACAGCTGGTAAGGATTAAAGTCCATAAATCTATTTAAAAATTACATTAAAGGTTACACTGCAGTATCAGCTTTTGCCTCAAGAGTTTCATCCTAAATGGAAATAAGAAAAACACAGAAGTTCAGGGAAATATATTTTTTTAATTGAATACTATTAACACACACACTGGCTTACAATGTCCCACCAACCGGGCTCTTTTATCCCTGGAGCAGTGACAAACCTCCTCCTATCCCTTCATATACACATATTTGCACTACCTGTCCTGAAAAGAACAATATTGGCACTGTCAATACTGAAATTGTGGTCTAAAATAACCGTTTACTTCCCTCCTTCCTCTCCAGGCTGCCCAGAGCGAAGCACCTGCTGAACGTTGTCAATGAGAACTTCGGCACGTTGGCGTTCTGCCGGCGCTGGCTGGACCGCCTGGGCGAGAGCAAGTACCTGATGGCCCTGAAGAACCTGTGCGACCTGGGCATCGTGGACCCCTACCCTCCCCTCTGCGACACCAAGGGCTGCTACACCGCTCAGTTCGAGCACACCATCCTGCTCAGGCCCACCTGCAAGGAGGTGGTGAGCCGGGGAGACGACTACTGACACCCCCCAACCCCAACCTTCAGCAACACCACCACACACACACACACACACACACACACACACACACACACACACACACACACACACCCTCTCCTCGTCACCACCACACAGCACCTCCAGACCCTGTTAGCAACTCGTCTTTCAGAGAAACAGCAGAAAAGAAAAAGAAAAGAGCTTCTAAACCAGGACGTGGTTGTCTCAGAGCAGCTTTGAGGGATGCCAAATGCTACTGTATTCTACCCACAATGCACCACTCACATCTTGCAAAGGAACAAGGACGGGGCTTTCTGAGTTTTCTATCAACCACAGCTAAAAAAAAATATATATATATAAAAAGCCAACAGAGGAAGCATTGTAGTTTCCTTCAGCGTCCTGCGGACCTCATTTTACACGTTATTAAAAGTTTACTGTCAAACAGTTAAACATTTATTTAAGCAGCCGCTGAGTCTAGTGCACCCTCAGTATTCAAAGAGACAGTGAGCCCCCCCCCTACACACCTCCCCTTTCATTTTCAAAGTTTCAATGGCTCCACTCTGAGCCTCCAGTGCTTTTAGTGCTCGAGTTAAATTAAGCACAAATGCTACTGATGGGTGTAAGATGTGGTTAGGCCGATGCATGGCCAAAAAAAAATCTCTCTGCAAAACAGACAATTCCTAACATTTAAAAGCTCCGGGTGTCGTAATGAAAAAAACGCCATCTTCGTACAGACACCGTGCATCTGCAGCTGTATGTTTTGGCTTCTGTCGCTACAGGAGGGAACTCTTGCACTCTGGCCCTCTAGTCATCGTTTCTCCGATATTTGTAAAATATCTTTGGAATGGTTGCCGCCCGCCACTGTATGTTCCCGGTTAAAAATGCTTCATTTTGAACTCCCTGACAAATGTTTTTGTAAGAAAAAAAAAGAGATGATTAAAATGATTTTGCTCATTGTGGGTTGTCCTCTTCTGGTGTCTCTAGTCACAGTGCGAGAGACGAGGTTATTGATCGATAGATATACAAATTGGTGACACTTTAAAGTTTCTCCACTAATTAAGGTTTTTCCTTTTTAATTTGTCACCCGTCTGTATATATTCATTATCAGTTATTTTGCTTTTTAATTTTCCCGATTACTCATCTGATGTATAAACTGTCGGAAAATGGTGATTGATAATGTTTTGTTTTTGGCATTTTTGCTTAAAAGAAGAACGTTTTGGGAAATACATGTATTGGGAGTCTGCTGCTGTTGAACGGAGCCCGGTTAGGTGTTTCTCTGTGTTTCTCTGTTTCTAGACAGATATCAGAGTGGTATTGATCTTTAAATATGATCTGAAGTAAATAAAAGTATCAACCACAATGTCAAACTATTCATAATAAGCAGGGAAGTTAAATATTCACTGGTTCCAGCTTCTCAAATATGAATTTTTGCTTCATATTCTGTTCACTTTAATAAATAATGAATAATGAAAAAGCTAGGAATATTAATAATAATGAAAATAATGTTAAACATACAATATGTAATTTCTGCCGCACAGGGGTCTCTCACATCAAAACAATAACAAAAAGACTTAAGTTTGATGACGTTGAGAAGTAGCGTGGGATCATGGGAGTTGTGGTCTTCGCCACTGCCGTCAGCTTATCCCGGTTAAGATTCCTTCATTCATTGTCCAGGAGGTTTTTACCGCGAGCCGAATTATCCGCAGAGGTATCCTCCTCCTCCAAAAACAAACAAACCCGGTGGTTAAAACCGGTAAAACATCAAATAAAGAAGTTTCACGTTAAAAATCTGTGTTTCTCCGACGCTGTTCGGCAGACATGATGTCCGGAGAGCCTGCCGCTATGCCTGTTTGTTTGCTTCCTCTGACTTTTAGAGTTGTTTTTCTTTTTTTACCCGGAGCCGAATTATCTGCAGAGGTCTCCTCCTCTCCAAAACGAACAGATCCGACGATTAAAACCAGTAAAAACACGGAATAAAGAAGCTAAATCCCGAAATTTTCCTAATTCCCTCCCTCTTAGCGGTAGAGAGAATCCCACAGGGGGCGTGGCCTTGTGACTACAGAGTGTATGACGCAGGAGATAAAGCCGAGGGATTATATGAAATGCCAAACGGTTCACAATTCTCCCGGTCTCAGCAGGCGCCAGACGACTTGTTGGAAAATGTATGGCTTGTAGAATTTCCAGTCAATTTATATAATAAAAAAGGAACATACTATTAAAGTTTTTAATTTAATGTATTTGCTTGTTCTTTAAACTTAATTTTAAAAAATGACAATTGTTAAAAACTTTGGAATGCAATGTAATCTTGAATTATAACCGTAGATATCTGGCATCTATCAATATCTATCTCCAGTTATATGATAGTGTGGTCTTTGGTTTTAGTCCAAATTTAAATATGATTAACTTGGCAACTCAGTCAGTAAAATGTATATTTTACATACCCGAAGTTCATGGTTCAAAGCTTTGCTGCAACATTTGTTTGGAAAAATTCATTTACACTCAATCGACACTATTCCTTTAATGGTGGACTTTTTAATCAGTTTACTTAATAAAAATGGCAAAAAGCATTAAAAAAGATCTATAATTATGCTGTTAACATGTATGAAAACCTGTTAAATAAATGAATGCTCTAAAGTCTGTTTTCTAATGAATACTTTTTCCATTTTTATGAAGTAAATTGGTTTAAAGTAGGAAATATAATATAGTATCAGTGACGCTGAATAGATTAATTCAGCTACTGAGTGACTAAGTTTAGTATATTCATTTTGTAAATTTTGAGTTAAAATAAGAATAATTTACGTTTGAATAAATAATATTTTTTGTTAACGAACATAAGCATAATTAAAAACATGCACATAAGAACATAGTAGTATATTTAAAAAGATATATTTGTGTTATGTATGTTTGTTTCATGATTATTCCCTATGAGAATGCACTTTATATGACCAAAGTTGTATTACTTTCAAACATTTCATAACATCACAACAGAATAACCAACAGAAGACCGTACATAAAGCCAGAAAGCAAAATATTCATCAGGAAAAATAAAAGGATAAACATGACAGAAGACACCCAATTACGTAAATAATTAGCGCAAATAAAATAATAATAAAAAAAATAAAATAACAAGATAAACTGCATTATATGACAGCTACAACATCATCCACTACACTACAAACATGTATCACCTCACACAAGCGCCTGACTCCATTTATTGAGCGGTCTGTAGGCGTCGCCTGTCGGATTTATAGCCAGGCGAATTGTGAACCGCTTGGCATTTCATACCGAGCTCCTTTTGTCTCCAAAGCCCGTGTTGTTGTTGTTTTTTTTTATCACCGTTGTCAACATGGACATGTACGGATACAGCGGGGTCTTCTTGGTGAAACGATTCTTGGACAATGGCGTGTTTGAAGTCACAAACATGTCCGACATCAACAAGGCGAATCCTCAAGGCTGCGATAACGGAGCTCTGACCGACAGGTTCGGCGTCTTGATCCAGGGACTCCTGGCCATCGTTGCCTTCAGTACGCTGATGTGTAAGTACCTGATCCGTTCGCCGAGGCGTGATCCTGAAAACACCTCCAGACACCGCAGACCTTTTGTGTGAGAGGATGTACGAAAGATAAAGTACAGAAACCTGCTTTTAAAAAGGCTACACCGATCCACGTGGCGGTTTTGTTGACGTTGGTCAAGAGCGTCATTAGCTTTGGCACCAAATTCCATTGGAAAATATGCTAATTTAATGTTCCCTTGCGTTTTAACAAGTAGAAATAGCTAAATTAAACACTTTGAAAACATGACATGGCTAATAAGGAGTCATTAATTATATCGGCATAATTAGATACCATAAACACGACATATTGTGATTTAATTTAAGTTTTTCTGTTAATTTCCATCGTCACAAACATCTTCCACGTCCACATAAGAGGCAGTTGCTATGAGCGGTGGTGATGTGTGTGTACCATTTTTAAAAGTACATATTTTAGCAAAATTAAGTGCGGTTTGTGGCACATCTATTCGCCGAATTTCCCCTGAAGACCCAAACTAACCATAATAATTAAGGTATACCATACCTCACCGGTATATGTGCCCATAAGTAAAGTGCCAAAATAAATTACCATGATTTTAAGGGAAGTGTCGTCACAGTCTTTTCCCAGTTCAAGAATGGAAGTTTTGGACCCAGATATTTGTTGTTGTTGCTCGATAACAACCACAAAACCTTGCCAACACTAAACTTATCCAATCTCCACGTTTATTTAGTGAATATTATTATATATATTATTAATATTCATACGCAGAAAACAGAACATTGGCTGCTGTTCAAGGAATATGCCATCATTGTTTTTTATTAAGTTTATTAGTTAATATCTGTGTCTCTGTGTGTTTTTTAAGTAATGTAACCAGCTGTTATTATATTATAGCACTTTAAAGTGAAATATACCAGAATTTCAGCCACTTTCACAGTGTTTCTGAGGGTCTTTCTTAACAGCAAAAACAAGATGCTCCTTTACAGCCAGACAGTGTATTTACTCCAAACAATGCCTATTGACTGCTAATTAGCTTGTGATTCTGTGGCAGCTGACTTGGAGAATGCTGGGCATCTTAACAGCTTTGGCACCACAGGCTGAAAGGTGGCATTGGGTACTGGGTCAAAAAACAACAACAAGCAAGGCCCTTTAGAAATATCTTTATGGTTTGTTTTTAATGCATTCAAATTGAACCTCCGTGTATCCAGTGATGACTTCCTTTATGACTTCCTGGATCACTTTTACGCTACGTAGTTATTTTCCTATCAGTTCTCTTGAATAATTCATGATAACATTGACTTTATTCAGCTCGCAGTTGATAAAAATAAAAAAAAAAGCCAATTAGTGCACATATAAGTGTGTTTTTCTGTAAGTGTGTTGCCATATCGTCTAATAATTAGTATAGTTTTTAAAAGGTTGGTGCAGTCTGATCAAGCAGGAGTGTTCAGAGCAGTCGAGGCCTCGGAGCAGTGGAGTGTTGCAGTATTAGTCGAGGCCTTTAGGGGTTGAGAGAGATCAATGCGCTCTAACCTGCACTCAGTTACTTATTAGTAAAGAAATCAATACCCCCCCTCTCTCTCTCCCCTCTCTCTTTTTTTTTTGGCTTTCCTGTGCTCTGTTATTTTTGGTCAAGGCGCATTCGTCTGTTAATATTTAGTCCAAATGATTTGTGTGCAGCAGAGCATTAAGAGCCCCCTCGGCTTTATGATCACAGTGGCGGTATGAGCCTGCACCGTAGAGTCCCTCTTCCTCAAAGCTATTTTTGTTAGTTTCCTTCCACCGACTCGTCATTATTCCTGCAGTCACACAATCCAGATAAGGGCTGAATATCCAAGCCACCGCAGTTCTTTAATGCAACTTTAAAAAAACCCAAAAAAACAAAACAGTTAAATTTAAGAGAAACGTTTGTTAGCCAACAGACATTCAGAGCAAATGTTGAGAAGTGTACTCTGATGTCTGGTTGGTGCAATTCCTTTCTATCATGAGAACAAAGACACACTTATTGGTATGTTTATTACCATTTTTTGTTTGTCCGATATCCTCACAACTACAAAATCTACACTTGGATTGTGATCTAGGGCTGCGACTAATGATCTGTTAGTTATTTGATGTTCAGTTTACGAGGATATAAAACAGGCAAAAGCAGCAAATCTGGCCTGAATGTTGTCTGATGAATGACTTAAAGGATAAATTGATAATCAAAATGTCAGACAAAGACTAATCTAATCACTTAATGCGATCTGGATGAAGTCACCTTAAAAAACATTTTAAAAATACAGAAAGAAGTCTGGAAAAGTATGATTAATTATACTGTAAAACCATTTTTATGATGTTCTAGACCGAAAGCTGTTTGAAAATATTGTATATATTCCTTCTTCATTCTAAAACACCAACATCAAAAACAGCTGATAAATATAAATCCTCAAAAAAAGCATGAGAGTTCAGGGATGTGAAAACACGCCCGCGGGAAGCCTCGATCATGTTTTCACACGCCTGAGTCACATTCTCTGACCCTGCGAGATGGCGAGATAGAGGAACAGTGGCCATCTGTTCACCCTGAGCGCGGTGGGGAGGACTGAAGCGCTGTTGCGGTGTGAAATGAGGGATGATGCGTCCTGGCTCCCCTCTGGCCCCTGCGGAGCCACAAGGCCTCGCTGTGTAACTGTTTTTGAAGTGTTGCATGTTATCGTCTTGCAGGATGAACACGAGTCTAGTTGGAACTTTTGTTGAATAACTGATTTACTTTTCTTTTTGGTTTGCAGTGAAGAGGTTCCGGGAGCCTGTAGGGATCAGACGACCGTGGAGGATCTGGTTAGAAATCTCTCTTCTTTTTCTCTCCTTATACCTCGTCCTTTCCTACATTCTTACATTTGACACACTTGCTTGGACGAGTTAAGTCTGTTAAAATAAAGAAAACTCTAATTACTGTCAGGGATTGGTGAAATAATAAACCAATCTGGACAACATCCTTCTCCTGTATGTGCCTGCTGTGAATATCATCTTAGGGGTGTCTTGACTCTAAAATGGTTTAAAAGACATTTTCAAACATGCTGCAAAATAGAATAAATAAGTTCAATTCATAAAAATGAAATTTAACAAGGTCCATGTTCGTGTTTTCCAGGTTTTTCGACACATCCAAGCAGGCCATCGGTGCTCTTTTCATCCACTTTGCCAACGTCTTCCTGTCCACGCTAACCAAAGAGGACCCCTGCTCCCTGTGAGTTATTGATGAGCACAAACAAAGTCACGATAAGACGATATGTTTGGCTGTCACGTGACTTGATTTCCCCTTTCTGCCAAAGATATCTGATGAACTTCCTGCTGGACGCCACGTTGGGGATGCTGGTCATCTGGCTGGCTGTGAAGTTGGTGTCCAAACTGGTGGAGTACAAGCAGTGGACTCTGCTCATGTTCGGAGAATACGGTCAGTGAAAGAATCTTGTTTCTAGAAACATAAAATGGCCCAGGAGTTGTATTTGTGACCGTGAGAGCTGGAAGAGGGAGAAGCTTACTGGTGCAGCTCTGGTTTTCCGCCACTGGAGGGCGCTGTAGACCCACTGGAGGCCGGCCCGGGAGGAGAGCCAGCATCTCCAGCTGCAACCCCGCCTGGAAAACATTCCCAGTGGCAGACGGATTAACTCCACGCCAGTTATTACATTCACTGTGCTGTTGTTTTCTCTTGTGCCTTCCTTCCTCGTGTGATGGGAAATATCTCTAAAACAACTTGCAACTGATTAGATCTCAATCTAACTTCTCTGTTCAGATCCATTTGGCCATTAGCCATTGATAACCAGTGTTTGTTTCCTTTTTTACCGTCTCTCTTTCCCCTTTTTCTCTGTCTCTCTCTGTCTGTCCGTCTGTGTGTCTTCCTCATCCCTTCTTCCTGTCTTAATGACAGACTTGTCCTCCTTTGTGTCTGCTGTGGTGAGACACCTGTGTTTTTACAGACCCTTTGGAAAGGTTTAGGCACGAGTTGGTATTTAAATATCCTGCACAAGATGCACAACAGTGACATATCTGAGATTGGTCTTTATTAAAATAGAGCATGAAAATGTAAAAGTAATTTGTATAATGTAGACTTTTTTTATTATGTAATTATGTTAAAGAGTGTTTTAATTGCAGGTTGACATTAGTTAGAAATCAATCTTGATTTATACTGAATGAGTCATTTAATGCAAAGAACTTCTCACAATACAACCAATTTGAAACATACAGAAGCTAAAAATCTTTATACATAATGTGAAAGATAATAAATAAACAATATATTAAAATGAAATAATAAATATGTCTTTTAAATAATGAATACAATCTTTCAATTTGGGCAAAAGACATCATTTCACAGAATAAAGTGCATAAACGGTAAAGAAACTATTGAAAGCTTATGATAAAGAAATAATTTAAAGATGAAAAACTCATCTTAAGCATAAAAAGAATGGATATGCATTAAATCTCTTATATTTTTATAGAGTTTATATATATATATATGAGATTGTCCGTTTACTGATATTTTTTCAACCTTCTCTCCCCCAGGTGACCCTCCGCAGGCGGCAGCATGGCTGGGTCAATGTGGCATCTACCTGCTCATCATGGTGCTGGAGAAAGGGGTGATCAGCCTGGTGCTGCTCATCCCCGGCTGGTCCAAAGTAAGTACGGCTACTTGTTCAGGGCTTATGGGAAAGATTGCATCCTGTGACGTTATCATACTTGTGGCATGGGGGTAAAAAGATATCATAAATGTTTGTCATGGTTTGACCTGCCAAAAACTAAAAAGGAGGAGTAAATGTGAACTTTGATTACCTCATGAATGGTCGTTTTATTGTGAAAAGAAAATGTTAACATCCCAAACGGGTCTTGGCCAGTTCAACCAGAGCAGCAGATTTGTACACAGTCTTCTCTCATTTCTATTTTGGCTCTGTTTGGTTTGTCGTTTGAGATTTTCTGGCAGCGCTGAGAGATGAAAGTCATCGAGACTAGAGAGCAAATAAACAAGTAACGGATAAAAAAAACAACAACTTTTCTTTTTGAGTCTAATGGAAACACGGAGGCAGTGTCGATGTCTTTGAACGACAGTTTGTTTGCTTGACATTGGGGATCGTTTTTGTTATTAACATCATCCCTTGTCATAGCAACAGAGGCCTTTCTAAGGAAGTGCCCTTTATTTGTATATTTCCTATTTATTTTTCCCAGATAGAGGGAGATTTTAGTTGTAAAGCTCTCTGTGTACTTCCTTTGTTTAAAGATCGTCTCCTCACTTTGACAAACTGACTATAAATATTAGTATTACTAATAGTAATGTGTTTGTTCTGGTACAGGGACGTTCTTTGTCTTCAACTTTATATTTATTTCACATGATTATGGTCCGTTTAATTCAGGTTTTTAACCCATGGCGTAAAATAAAGTAACTTATGGCCCTTTTTTTAATAAATAAGTTGTAAATTATATAGTTATAAAGTTATATAGTATAGGTAGAAAGACATATTATCAGAAAAATGCAATACAAAGGGGGTGTGAAAGGGGCAATAACCATTTAAGGCAAAATAGAATATATATATTTCTGTAGAAGCTATAAAATCTTGTTTTCAACATATAAAAACTATTTTTTTCATGTGGAAACGATTGTGTTAAAGTAAAGGAGGAAATTGTTCCGTGTTAATTAACAAATGCACAATTAACACATATTTACACAGCAGAAGACCGAGTCAACTAACATATTTGTTGTGAGGAATAATGTTCAGTTAGGTGGGAACCTGGTGAAGTTAACAGTTCACAGCCTGAATGAAACTCTCCACACTGAAACACAAAATAAATATCTTAAACTTAATTTTTCTTTTCTTAATTTTCTAGAAAGATTTCTGTTTTGTTTGTCCTCGTGTTTCGACTTAATGATTTTTACACCAAACATAACCATAACCATTAGGAGGTGGAACTCAAAAGCTCAAACCAGTCATTTTTAAAGACTTATTGTTTAAAGATGGCCGTAATGATTCCGGTTTGTTAAACGTTCCTTTCTTCTCTTCCAGTTGCAGGAGGTGTTGCTGAGCTACATTGCGAACCCTCAGCTGGAGCTGGTGCTGGTCATGCTCATTGTGCCCTTCATAGTGAACGTGAGTTGTTCTAGTGGTCACAGAAGTGAGTTCAGCCTCTTATCTCTAAAAGCAATTGTGACCCCCAGTCTTGTCTCTTCTTCCTCCCCCTCTGTAGTCCATCATGTTCTGGGTGGTGGACAGCCTGATGATGAGGAAGTACAAGACGATGAAGAGCCTGGACGATTCCTGTGACGGCTCGGTGAAGAAGGCTGACCCGCTGCTGTGGGCGAACGGCGAGGAGTCACGGGTGAGAATAACTGATATTTATACTTGTGAAACAGCTGCTCATCGTTTTTAGTCACTTATGTAATTAAACCACCTGCTTCGTTCTGGATATTATGTCTGTTCATTAGATGTGTAATTAGGGACTGATACAAACGGAGGATCTCATTTTGACTGAAAAGCTCTCCGTCCATTGCGTGTAAATAACCACACTGCCAGCTTTTTATGAGCAATGAGTGGCAATGCTTGAGATTTCAGTGATTTGGCGACACCTGTGGTTACTGGTGGTAACTGCAAGTGCCGTGTAATACTGCCATAAAACCACAAAATTCTAGGGGCAGCAAAACAAACTGTTGTTTCAGTGAAGAAGTCGGGCAGTAATTGATCTTTTTTCATCATTCTGTGAGCAATTATTCTCTGATTTTAAGAGAAGTTGGAGGTGTTTAGCCTGTCGCCTGCAATATTTCAAACTGATCTTCTGTCAAAAAAATGCCCAAAATGACTATTGGTCTCTTAGATAATGCTAACACCCAAACTTGCAGAGCATTTTGGGTGTCTAAATAATATATGAATGTTTTAATAATGACTTTAATAGAAATTCCACTGATTTGTGTTTTTGTGTATTTATTTAAAATTCTGCATAGCATTAAAATGTCTAAAAGTTTTAATAAAACACCCTCAAAATAAGTTAAACGCTCACTTACCAGGCTACTTAGAGAAATCAGACTGCGCCCATCTGCTCTGGAAGTGACTCACTAGCCTTTTAAAGGGATTACTTTTGATGTTATGAAAAAGTTTTTGCTAAAGCCCCGTTCCCAAACAAGAATGTGACAGTTTAATATCTTTGCTTTTTGATGAAGGGTAGAGGACTTTAATGTGTGTGAAAATGAGTGTTGATGGTTGATGTACCCACACGGTCACGCTGGGTGTCAACCGCACCTGTTGTTTTGGGGGATGAGTACAGCTTTGGGACACGCACGCCATACAGATTTCCTCTCTCTACACTTGCTCTAATGAGGAACAAACCCAGATGAATCCAGTCCAAGAAATACTGAGTCAGACTGTCCTCCCTCGGTGCTGTTGAGTTAGGGTTTGAGATTCTGGAGGCTTCATTGGACCTTCAGAATAAAAATGTGACATTTTGTTATCCTAATAATAATAATAATAATACATTTTACATATGGACTATTTCTACAATAGAAAATACACTATAGGGGGAAAGGTACGTGCAAACACTATTTTTGGTTTGTTTTTCATGATTTCTTGGTTCCAGTTAAGGGAAATCTTAAATGTTTCAGAATCCAGTGATATTCTAGAGCTTCCAACTTTGTGGCAACAGTTTAGGGAAAAAGAAAAAGCTTCCCTCGCTTGGTGTGGAAGAACTTCCTGACCTCAACACCTTGTAAGGGTGAACTGGAATGCCGACTGCGAGCCAGGCCTCACCACCCAACATCAGATTATTTAGCATTTTGAGATTATCGGCTGACATCTGAGCTCACAAGGCCGATAATGACAAGAAAATGTCTTCAGACACGCCTGCAGGCAGTCAGTGTGGCTGCTGTAGAAGGATGTCAGCGCTCCTCCTTTGTGAGTTTTGGGAAGGTGGTGAAGGAGTTGGTTTAGAGCCGAAACATACGCCTGCATTACACATTATTTCTCATTGTTTTGATATTGGCGTTATATATCGGCCATCTGCAGCTCTATCGCCATCCATATACGGCGGCCAGGTTCCATTATCTTGTAGAAAACCTGGAACCAGAAGAGTGGAGGCAGCAGATTAATGCCTACAATGTTTGGATGGGATGTACAACACGTTATGGGTGTAAATCTTCGGTGACCACATATTTTTTTCGGGGGTATCCACATACTTTAGGCCAAGCAGTGTTGGTCTTAAAGTTGTTCACAGCTTAATTTTTACAACATCTTTGTCTTTACGTGCTTGTGGACCGAAAAGAAACGAAGAGAAAAATATAGAGGGTGATAACATGCAACAAAAATGCCCAGATGCCCACGTGATCGGCTCTAGTGAGTTTTGGGTTGAGTTCTGGTTTATCTGGACTGATGAAACTATTAACAGGCTAGTTGTTGTGTCCGGGGAAGGGAGTTCAGTAGCCGCCCCTTCACACAGCACAGAGGCCTGTGTCATTTCCCCCTCCCTTTCTCTCTCAGGAAAGATTGACAGATGATTGTTAGGGTGCATGACCCTCGTGTTGAGTGGGTTGAGAGTGTTTATCCCTCCCTCCTCTTCCCCTCTTCCCTGGTCGCCTGCCAGGCAGCCATAAATCAATGCCTTCATCGCGGGAATAAAAGTGACATTTAGGAGTCGTTTCCACGCGCTGATGTTATGGAAAGCAGAGTGAAACGGAGGAGGATGACAGATAGAGAGGCATTGACTCGGATGAGGTCTTGGTGGGGGTGGCGGTCGGAGCTGTGGTCACAATGCCGTTGTTGTGGCTGGTGTTGCTGCCTGTGACATCAGGGTTGTATGTAGCGGAGATGATCAGATTCTGGTATCCCGGTATCGTCCAAATGTAAGTTGGATATTAACTTTGGTTAATACAAAATTGGTGAGTATTTGTGAGTTTGTGCGCCCCCTAACGCTACAAGACACCATGTCTGTCTTTATCCCAATATCTGAATCTGTGCTGCTCTTTAAAGTGGACTTCATATCAGCTTTTCCACATGTCAAACCCGAACATAAAACAACATATGGAGGTTTATAATGCCGTAAATGTCGTAGAGTTGTGGAATTTCTGCTCCTTCGAGATTCAAAAGCCTGCTGCTGCTGGAAAGTGCCTTCCAGGCTGCGAATAAACGGGGGATATTTTCCACTTTAGGTCGGGAATGCAGAACTGTTTCCCAGCTTTCCCCGCGAAGCAGAATCTAAACATACAGCAGAAAACCACTTGGTTTGTTATGGTTTGTGCTGTACTACTGGCTCCTGCATCCATCAAAATCTTCTGCTCTTCTCTCAGGTCCTGCTGACCGTCGAGACAGACACAGACGAGGCTTCTGAGGGGGAAGAAGAGCCCGGTGACGTCGAACCGGCCCCTCACGTGCAGTATTCTGGAGGACCACTGAGACCCAGCTGGGTAGTAGTATAAACCCAGGTGACGTGACCTCCTACCCGTCCTTCCACTATCCACACACACTCTTAAAAGCCAGAATATGAGCAAACACACAAAAAAAAACCTTGCATCCTTATCTCCTCAGATTAAAGGTCTAACTATTAGCTTCCTTGTATGCGAAGGCACAATTAAAGGTCATATAACCTGTGAATGTGAACACTACAGCCTTAGCTGCCTTCCTCTGCACTAAAGGTGTGAATAGTTACAACTTGACTCAGCGTATGCATGTAAATCAAAATCAAGCATATTGGGAATTAGAGGCTCTTTATCCTCTCACCTTGCTGCCTCCGTTTGCTGCAAGACAACATCAGAGTAACCACAACTGAGCGTGTGCGGAGAGAGATTATTAGTGAGAGTAGCACCCGTGGGGCAAAATGTGCGGGTGGTAATGACAAAGACTGAAATAAATCTGTCTTTTCTCCACATTGGGGACTTTTGGGAATGATGTTGTTCTAAAGAGAATCATTTATCACATATCATATTCCAAAGAGGAGCAAGTGAGTATATATATGTGCTCTAAGATTTTACTTGGTCAAATATAATCACTGCAAATCCATCTTTTTAATTTGTAATTATAGTCATTCCTGTACGTTCTCTCCCTCTGGCTGCTTGTTTTAAGTTTGAAAGGTGGTTAATGGTCTTATTTCTTAAAACCACACGCTCAGTCATGACGGACCGAACATGTTGAAAGCGGTTTCTATGGAAAAGTTCTTTGCAACAGGCTGCTTTTAAAAAGAATTATATGTGGGCAGGAAATAGTTTTATGTCATGGTTTAAACTAAGGACCAGGTTACACTATGTTTCTGAAATCATTTGCATATTTGTTGTGTACGATGGAGTATTAGGGCTTCTGTTGGGGGGGAAAACAGAGATTTTCCGAATAATGTTGTGAATGTTATGTTGAACAAGGATCTTTGCTTTATTCCAAGAGTTAGATGTGAAGATGAAAACCACTCTGTACGCTAAATATGAAGCTACAGCACACTGATTAACTTAGCAGAAAGACTGGGAACAGCGAGCTTGCCTCTGTCTGAAAATAACATGTTCTGTATTGTTTGTTTAATTCGTACAAAATCGTATAAATACGACATGTTGGGGTTTCACGAGGGGTCGTATGGGGGACTATTTCTTGGCCGGGAGCTGTGACTTCCTGAACTTTGTACCTTTTGTGCATAGGCAGGCAACTATTTCATGATTTCAGATATCAGAGTTGAATTCAAATGAGCAGATATTGTTGAAAATGTCAAAATGTTCCTTTAAAAGTGACGTTTTGTGATAAGAACTGACCTTTTGGTAGAGACACTTTACAAAATACAACAACCTAGGTTATATCTTTATTCAAATGAAAAAAAAATCTTGAAATTGGAACTTTATTTTCTTTAAATATTACGACTTTATTCTCAAAATCTCCTGTTTCTTCCCCCTACGACTGTCCATCATAGTAAACTTGATAAAGTAGCTCTGTATTGAACTTTTACAAGGTATGGCACATCTTTATTATTTATTCTGTTAATATTTTATATGTATTTGACTTTATATATTGTGGTCCAATCTGTGGTAACAACATTGGAATAGGATGTTGGTTTTTTTTTAGTGAATGAAGTAAGTCGCTGCCAAACTACAGTTGGTAAACATGCTCTGGGATCAGTATGAATTAAAGTATGCCATCTTTATATATTCTGCTGTTTCTCATCATTTCCATTCTCCTGTTAACATGTACGGTTTAAAAGCAGAGACAGTTTACTCCGTCTGTAATGTTATATTTTGTATTCCAATGTATCGTGTATGTATTTTTTTTTATTTTTAAATGCCAAATAATGAACATGTGGATCAAAATGGCACAGCACAGCCTGAAGTGTCATTAACAGGCTGTACACTGCCACGGTGCTTCTGACCGAATGTATCTCTTTAGTCTGTGCGAATAAAGATGATTGACACATGAACCGGTGTTTGGTGTTGAATTCCTGCGGCGGACGGGGTGAGGCAGCGCGATGACAGACAAAGTGAGCGGGACCCCGGCCAGAGCACACCTGTGTGGGCGGGGCCAGCAGCCCTGTGACCTCCAGTTGATGACAGGGAGGACTGTGGAGCGGTGTGTGCGTGTGTGTATTTGTGTGCTATGTGTGTTGGGCGTGCGTCTAGTCATTGACGCTGGGACAAGGGGTTAGTTACTGGGGTTGGTCTCCGTGGTAACCAGGTGTGATCTTCAGCTCGAGGTTGCCACGTTTGAGACATGTTGACATACATATTTGGTGTGTGAGAAGAAGGGGGGGAAAAAAAGCACTCCCAACTTGATGGTTGTGTGCTTTATGTGTCGGAAAACAACCTCAAAATGTGGGTTTAAGTGTTTTTATTTACAATTACAACATTATTGTAAAAATAATACACACAATATAATAAAAAAAAACATTTAATTTTCATTAGAAATAGTAAAAAAATATATTCAAAAGAGCCTGTAGGTAGAAAGACAACTGAAATGTGATGGCTTGGCATTCGGAAATGTTTGGGATCTGCTGGGATGGGATACAGAGTAAAAGTGAGTTAAATAAATGCCACGGCTCCAGTCGTCTCACACTCTGTTAGTCCCGTGTGGCCAGTCCCCTGTGTCGAACATGTGCGACGACATATAGTCCTCGTACTGTCCGTCTATCAGCTTAGCCGCGTTGTTCCGGGCGAACCAGCAGTCCACGCTCTGAGTCCCGCTGTAGATCTTCCTGCTCTTCTGAACCACAGGCACCGAGCGGTCCTTCACTTTCAGGATGGGCGAGGGTTTCATGTCTCCTTGTGCAGGAAGCTCTGCCAGTCCCACTTCCTCGTACAGGAACTGACCTGAAAGTAGAAGGAATCAAAGGTTGGAGTTATTTTAGTCTCAGAGTTCGACTGATATGAGTCTTTGAAGGCCAGCCAGCGACTCTTTTTGATGTTAGGTAGTTAAAAATGTGGCAATTTGGTTGCACAAACATACTTTTCACATTCTGATTCAGAATTTTCTTCAGAAATTCACCATTGGGAAGAAAGGATATCGGGTCAAATATCCCCCGATGATGGTCTACTGACCAAAATCTTGGCCACTAATCAGCAGGTCGGTAGTTTGATCCCATTTCGAAGTGTCCTAGATTTTAAACTGCTGGACCTTAGATTTCTCTTAAATTTGGATTTGGATATTCTGAAAACAAATGGCTGGATTTCCAGGATAACCACGGTCCCCACAGGATGATTTCCTAATGTTTTTGGTGCCCTCCTGACCTTTTTTATCTAGCACCACCCTCTCTTAAGAAAAAACACATTTCCACAAAACTTCATGCTCCACAAGGGATAAAAGCTTTTAGTTTAACTTCCCTGCAAACTCAGTCTAGCCTCACATTGTATTACTAATATCAGTAAAATTATTATTGAATTAATTTTGTATTTTAAAGTTTATTTTATTTTATATGTATCTGTGTACACCCAACAGCGTACAAAGATACATCCATTCACACATAAATACAAATACAACTAACTAATACAAACTCACCACAACACTTCCAAACACAACTCATAACCTCAACCCTAAACTTATCTGTGTCACTTTTCTTGACTGGATCTGGTGGATGTTTTGGGTTAAACTTCCCTTTTCAGCCCCAAAAGTGGTGATGGTGATGTTGCTTCTAGTGGCTGATAATGTCGCTTCAGGCTATTAGACACCCAATCCTCAATCAGCACCCAATTAAAGCTCATTAACACCTACCCAGAAGGCCGTGGCAGTTGTGTGACAGCCCCTTGCTCTGACCGATGTAGAACCCCAGGTGATCTCTCTGGTAGGGGGCTGGATTCTTGTACTGGTGCAGCAGGATCACAAAGCTGATGTTTCCTCCGATCGTCACAGTCACGTTAGACTTTCCCACGATGGACACTGACAGAGCGCCACTGTCCACTGCGACTGTGGAGTGGCAGGGCAGCACCATTCTGTCCCGCCCATCCAGGATGACCTTCTTAGGCGTCACCTCAATGTAGGCACGTTTGGGATGGTCCACCACGATGGTGATGGTGCTGAAGTAGGTACGCTGCTGTTTGTGACTGCCTGGCGGAGCTGGGGCACCAATTAGCTTACCGTTCACTGTCACACCTGGAGACACACAACAAAAATGACCCACACAAAGCATAAATGATATAGATCTTGACGTGAAGTAAGAGTTTTTGTGCCGTGTAATGAAGTCTAACGGAGTCTTACCAGAGTACTTGTGGTCAGAGACGAGACGCAGGATGTGTCCAGGTTCACCGTTGATGTTGAAGCACACAGTCAGCTTACTGAGCGGGAACTCCACCACAAAGTGGGGGTCACCGTCCGCTGAGGTAGTTTAGTTTGGTGAAAGAGAGACAAAAAGAACAGTGCCTTTTTAAAAACACAGCAAAAAGAATCTGGAACATGACAAGTAGGCCTGAAAGTAGATTGCTTAAAAAGTGAAATGACACCTTTTGAGAGAGCGTCAAGTTTACTTTTTGATTTAATAGTATGCAGAAAGATGGGGTTGCATCCGAAATGTAGCAGGATTTATAATGACATAAAGAGACAATCTATGATTACATACATATTACATATGGGTTTTTTATGGCTGATTTTGATATTTTTATACTAGAAGTTTGATTGTGTTTAGGCTGAAACAAACAAAATTAGATATCAGCCCGTTATTTAGAGACACACAGCTCTACAAAAAAATGTATTTGAAAAGTTAAATGAATAAATGAAAAGTAAAGGCAAAAATGTTTAAAAACACATTTCTACTGAGTTTGGTTTAAAAAGTGACTCGGGGAACTTGAGTTCTGTTGGGTGAATTCATGTAAAACTAAATTATAATTCTGCTATACAGTAAAGTTTTATACCCACTCATCTTTTAAGCGGACAGACACCCCCAGGAACTCTTCTTCCCCATGGTTCGACTTCAGAAAAGATTAATTAAAGAAGTTTTAAAAGAAATTATCCTAGTAGATGGTGGGACTTTGGATCTCTTTATAACAAAGAAAACTAGTTAATTTTTTCATGTCACGGTAAATTAAACAAAAAAAAACCTTCAAACTTGAGCTGCAATCTCCAACATCTCTGTAAAATCTATACATAATATAAAGAAAGGCAATGACTGATTAGTAGCTGACTTTGGATCTCAGATTGGGTTCTATCAGATCGGTTCATATCTTTAGCTGGAGTCTCTCCAGGCTTGTGAGAACCAGCTAAGATGAATAGAGGAGTGATGAGATGAGAGCAGATGATAGAGCAACAGTAATGACAGGGTCATTAGCCGGCACTAACTGCCTCTGATGGGGTCCCTCTCTTTACTGTAACACATGCACAAACATCCACTTCTCATCTCTCAACTCCCATTCACCCACCGTGTGTGTGTGTGTGTGTGTGTGTGTGTGTGTGTGTGTGTGTGTACGAACACGCACTTGCATGTTTAAAGTGCCACATAGTGCTTTTGCTGGTATTTCAATTAGACCCTGTGTGTTCTTTCCTCTTTGCAGGTCATGTTCAGAGGCATCCCTGAACTCCTCGCTGTCTGTGTGATCACTGCCGACTGTCTGACGAACATCCAAATTACAGGCCGCCCACATAGAGTGTAGAGAGAGAGTCTACTGTACATTCCCCCGTCTCCTCTCTTTCAAGTCTCCTTATGGAGCCTCGTAACCACTGCGTACGTGCTCGCAGTATATAGTGTTCAGAGGTTATTAAATAAAACGGCTCAGGGGAAAATGAACAACTGTTTACATGAGCGGGAGGATGAGGAGTTACCTGATGTTTTGGAGATGGTGATGGATTTCTTGGCTGGTCTCCTCGCAGCTTTACCTACAAGGAAGAGAATATTTATCTACTGCAATGAGTCAGAGGGCAGCCATTGTTTAATGCTTCCTCTTTAAATCTTCCATATGAGTAACATTAACTGTCGATGGGTCAGTTAGTGTAATACAGGGTCTCTGAAGAGAGAGAATAGTCATTTGGATATATGTTTTGCACGTTCTCTTAAAACAATACTCCACTGAAAATCAGTATCACCTCTTCTAGGTTTGCAATGTTAGCTGTGAAGAGCTACTTGAGACAATCTGTTTTTATTCTCGGCATATACTTTGGTAGCTGACTTTTTAGACACCCTGTAACCAAATCTCGACGGCACATCCTCACCAATTGTGTTCCTCACAGATGAAGTCTGGCCGCCTGGCTTCCCGTTGGGTTTCTGTGGCTCTCCCTCCTCTGTGTCACCTGGCAGCTCATTGGCAGCTGAGCCAGCTGCTGGGGTGATGGTGGGCGCCGGGGCCATGCTGCCATCAGCCAGGACCTCAGGCTTCTCCACCACCAGGTTGGTGAGGGGAGTGAGGAAGTGGTAGGTCAGAGATAGATTGGTGGCCTGCTGGATGTGGTCTTCCCTTTCTTTGCTGGTCTGGCTGCGTAGCCGTGACCGTAGCCCATCCTTGACGCTAAGGAAACCCCAGACGCGTTCCACAAAGTCTTCCGCAATTGAACCCAAAGCAACTCCTAACCCCTGCATGCTCCCTGACCCTGGAGTCCTAGCTCCAGCCGCCATCGCTGCTGTGGCGGCTTTCACGTGTTTCTCAGTCTCTATCTGCCTGTGCCGCAGTGGAACGTCGGTCTCCAGGATGATGCTCTTGTCGCTGTTGCTGGCTGTAACCTGGACGTGGAGTATTTCCGCGCTTTGGTTCGTCAACTTGCCGGCAATGACGATCTCAGAGCCGTTGAAGTAGTTGGTGAACAGATGCTGAGTGACGTACTGAACAGAGTCCTCAGTGTAGTTGATCCTTATGTCGGACAGCAGAGGAGTTCCTATCTCATCGTAGAACCTAGAAAGGAACAAGGAGACATGTAGGATTGCAGCTGGATAAAATATAACAGTTAGATCACCCCAGCAGGGTGAGGTTTAGTTAAGGTAGAGCAGCTAAAACTTCTTGGTAAAGACTAGATGAAGGTGGTCATTGCTTAAAGAAACCAACATTTGGTGTTGGTAGGAGTCTCGGTGCAAACCATTGTCTCATAGTCACTTTTGAGGGTTTGCAGCCCGACAGGAAGTTTGTGCTCCTTCCACCTTTTCCTTTTAGGGAGGACAATCATTAGTCACACGACCACAAGAGGATACTTGTTGAGAGAACTTAGTGTCGGATGTTTTAAGTGTTTGAACAGATGACCAATGGTGTTGTTTTTCCTGCCCTGGATAGTGTCCACTTGTAGTATTATGCTAATTGTACTGTTCAACTTGCAAGCATCCAAGGGCAAATTAATGCTACCATGATAACTTTTAGGAGTTGTAAAATCCTGCCTCATAGGATTAGTCTGTAAATTGCTATAAACACTCCCTGGATTATATTTTGTTTTCTTACCAGCATCCTTGAGCAACACCAAGACAGATTGTGAACGCGAGAATGTTGCCAAAGTTGTCTCAAACCTCCAGAGTATTAAAATGTGGGCTTGTTTTTTATTGCTTATTTTTTACACATCCAAACCATCCATCTGCTTATTCTTCTCTGTTGATCACTACTAAGTCACATGTCCAGTGCCTTTGCTCAAGGGCACATCAGTTGTCGTTTTTGAGGCAGAACTAGAAGGATGTTATTACATATTTCATAAAATGTCAAGTTTGTTCAAACAAGTCACCTTCCGGCCATAAACCTGCTTGTCTACAGCTACAGCCACCCCACTTCAGAGTTTATGCACACATTCATAAAGAGTGTGTATGAAGCAAAGATTGTGAATGTGTGTGTGTGTGCAAGTCGTCTGTCCTGTCCTCGTTGTCACGCCGCAGTAAACCTCCTCACCTCTTAACCAGCGTGTTTGTTCAAGCAAGACGAAGGCTATTATCTGTGCAGTCTATCTGTTAACCCCACGTACATACTCAGATGCAGGTTTCACAACACACACACATTCCTGCTCTACTGAACAAACACCTTGTGTGTCCGAGTGCGGAAGAGAGAGAGAGAGAAGTGGGTTGTGTGTAAAGGATAGGAGAAAAAAAAAGGTCTGAGAGAGAAAGGGGGTGGCTGTTGTAGTCTGTGGCTGTCACAGGTTGAAGTTGATTAAAGAGGTCTGTTGTCAGCACCGTCACATTTGCGGTCTTCGTTCCCTCGTAGCTCGATGAGAGATGAAGGGACGTGTCGGACGGGTAGAGGGGAGGGATTAAGGAGAGCTAATTGCTTAATAAGAGGTGGATTATACACATAATGAAGGGGATTTTGTGACTATGATTACTTATTTAAATTAATAATCAATGTTATTGTCTTATACATCAGGAATTCTTTTCATTTCATGTTCTAAACACCCATTGCCTAGTAGGTTATTTTGTGGTAAATTTCTGTTTAAATAACAAGTAATTTCTGGCAAGTTCAGTGCAAAAACTTAACATTAAGCACCAAAAGTTAAGACAGAAAAGAATATGAAGATGATGATATGTTGTATTTTTCTGGACTGAATTCAAAATGGGAATTTCTCAAAAGTTAATCTTCTACATGGCCACAGTCAGGAAAGGGAGTTTGGGCTTCAATCCAGTTGAAATCCCAAAATAACTTCTAGGACTTCAAACTTTTGACCAGTATCAGGCACCATTGCCTATTTTGGGCTATTTCCAGACCACGTGAAACCAGTTTTAGACCAGTTTCACACCAATTTTAGTATTCTAGTTTTAGACCAACCCAAATATCAAGACGACAACATGCTTCATCATAAGTCCAGGTCAGACCTCAATTTATTCTCCGGCTAGCTACTGTTGATTTCGCTCATCCACATCCCAGCATGCGAAGCACATGTGGCTATGGGAGCCATCATCTATAACCTGAAGGTTGTATCACAGTCCGAGCACCAACAAACCACTCCAAAATTAATTTGTGATCAGACTGAGACCACTTCCTCTATAGGGCTTGTGGTGGGGTTGTTTTAGTGTGCTCCAAAGTGCGACTGCTGTGTTCAGATCTGCCCAAATGAATCGTACCAAGGGGGAATATTTACCTGGGGTCTGATTCAAATGGACTAAAAAAGAAAGAAGAAAAGGCCCTTAGACCACTTCCAGACCACATTTTAAAGCCAGTCTTTAGCCAATTTCATGGTTTTTTTTTTATCTGTTTAAAACCAGTTTCAGACTATTTATGAACCAGTTACACATATAAAAAGAAGCCTTCTTCAATTCTCTAATGAGCAATCCCCCATTTTGGTCACCATCTTTAATAATCCAAGATGGCTGCCATGTCGATATCTGTGAAAATGTAGTTCACAAAATGTGAAGAAACGTCAGAAGCTGAATAATCTAATTAGTAGTTTGGAGAATAAAATGGCTTGTGATGGAAGAAATATTCAAACAATATGACTGAATTGACAGAGACACAGAGCACAAAGCAATCTCTTACCCTTTGAGCATTGCGCTGGCGTCCGCCTCTTCATGGATGCGTCTCATCATTCCACAGTTTTCCAGAGCCATGCGCTCCAACAGCCGGTAATCCACGTCGTTCCCAATCCCGATGGTGAAGATGCAGAACTTCTCCTGCACGGCTGAGCGAGTATTCCCCAGGATCACAGTGGACTGGATCTCCCCGACCGTGGGCCGTCCGTCCGTCAGGAAAATGATGAGGGAGACGCTGTTTGGGCTGGCGTCAGGGCCTGAGAGGTAATCTCGAAGCAGAGAGGAGCCAGTCTGCATGGCATCATCGATATTTGTACCTGCAGTGGAGAGAGCGAAATTATTGCTTAATAACACATCAAGGATATGGAAATACAGATAATAGGTCAAACTATATAGATTGTATTGTCCTGAGGCCAAAATATTAAAAGCTCATTAGATAAGATCTTTACATTTAACCAAATTACACCACAAGGAGGACAATGTCTCACCTCCTGTGGTCGCCAGCGTGTAAATAAACTTCTTGGCATCTCTGACATTAAGGGGCGTCACCGGCACGAGACGATTGGGCTGCCAAACTTTGATTTTATTGGAGAAGCTGATGAAGTTGAAGCGGTCGCCGGGTCGCAGGTCCCTCAGAATGGTGAAGAGAGCATCTTTAGTCTTAAAAAGAAAGTATGTGACAGAGAAATTATTTGTTACAACAGACAAATGTGGGACATCTTGTCAACAGAATGCTGGATACACAGTGTGGTCATGGTCTCTGTGGTATAGCTTATTGTATTATAACACTAGGGCTGAAAAGGATGGAAACAAAACACACATACCAATCAATCAAACACCCAGTCACACACACTCCACCCATGAATCGAGCCCTGGAGGGTGGTGTCATTAATCAGAGTCAGAAATGTGGTGAAAAGGTCAGAAAGCTTTTAAGATAATTACATCTTAAAATAAAGTTGTTGTTTTTTTTACCTGTAGTTTATTAGCTGTACTGTTAAAAGCTTGTATATCCATCAACCTTCAGGGAACTAACAACTCCCTGTATTGTAGCTTGACTTTGGTCTACATTGTTCAGTACATGCGATGGGTTTTTAATGGGATCCACATGCCATTGTTATACTTTTTTTTTTACAAAACACACTGTGTAGTCTTTGAATCCATCAGAAAGTTAACTGTTTTCTGGAGTTTAATTCAAGACCATTATATTTGAACCTTCATTAGTTTTAGTTAGTTTAGCAATGTGACAGATTTCCATTAAATTTGTTTAATGCATACAGTAGAGTTTTGGCCACATGCTGATGATTCAGTGTTCTACCTTTTAATTATTATTATACTATATCCATTTAAACCATAATTAATATAATATTATTAATTTGACTGCCTTCTAGTTCTACTTTAAATGTATCCATGTAAAGAAATAGGCAAACAAAAGTACGTAGACTCAGAAATTACTTTCTGGAGCTTCACTATCTCAGCATCTCTGCAGCCCTGAGTGCGTGGGTATGATATATAATTTGGTGTTCAGGGGTTTATAGATGTGTATATGTGCTGTATACAGCAGGGGTCAAAACCACAGACTGACCTAAACTGAAACCCTCTATTGTGGAGCCACATCAAACACCCTTGTTGTTCTGTTTCTGCGGCCCGCTGGGGGCTGGCAGTGGGTGGGGGGAGACAGATCAAGGGGTCGAGAGTGCCGTTGTCTAGAAAGTTCCATTACCCCATAGACACTGACCTTCCTCCCTCACAGCGTAGCCTTGTGCTGTATGTTTCCACTTTTCTTTCTCACTGAAAGTCTGTTTTTCAGTTTTTCTGTTTCTGTACTCCTCACTCATGGCAGCTGCAGAGATCAGCTCCGAGTCTGGCCGAGGGGATTATTGTGCTATTGCAGATGGAGGAAAAGGTCTGATATTGATATTCCAGTGTGGGTGTGAGGTAGGCGGGGTGTCAGTTTTCTGATCCAGTGCAGCCATTGAGATTCCGCTTAAAAACGGAGTAAATTGTTTTGCATGGGAGGCGTGATCATTAGCTTTCCTGTTACGCATCAGGAAAAGTAAGAATGGGTTTATATCTGGTACTGTTGGTTCATCTGGAACCTGGAAGACTTTAACATGAGCATACACCAAACCTATTGGCCTAAATCCCCAATTGATGCTGCAGCAGATGAGAGTGTCCTTCAGACTGGCCCAGATTCAATTCTGGAGGCAGGTACAGTATGGGCATTGGCAAAAAACTGCTCAGTGGGAACAGATCAACAGGAAAGACACAGTTGGCAGTGGCTTTTAAAAGCCAGTGTAGTTTCTGAGACTTTCCATCACAACGAAGACAAAATAATCTTAATTCAAGGTCTATTTAGCAGCTTTTTCTAAATATTTGAATCCTATATTGTGAGCACAAGGAGTTTGCTTTAAAACCTCATCCACTGATGAAGACCACGAGGTACAATGGAAAGCTCCAGAAAAAGCTAATTAAGTGGACCTTTTATCACAATTTATGTTTGGTTGCCTAAATTGTGTTATTGCTGCATAGTGTTGGAGTTAAGGAGCACTTTTTTATTTAAAAGACTCTTCAATGATGGTGCATTCAGGTACTAACTGATGAAACTGATATATAGCTGATAAAAGACTTTCTTTTGTTTCATTTAAAACTGTAATTACACAATCTGACACCAGTGTCGGCTTTAAAGGTAGGAAGTGGATGCAAAAAATACTAGATCTTTAAGAGTAAAATCTAAAATCATTCACACATTCCTGTACCTTTTAACTTCACAACAGTTTTCTATTTGTATACATATGTATATGTATGTATATATATATATATATCTATATATATATATATATATATATACTGTTTGTGCTGCTTTACCTGTCTGATCTTAGTCCCCAGCATAGAGGCGCTGGTGTCGATCACAAACACCACATTCTTGGGCACCACTGGCAGGTCTTTGGGGGCGAAGTAGTGGACAAAATGGCCATTTAAAACCTGGGAAAGAAAGAAGTTTGCACATATGCAACAGGCAGTGAGGTCACTTGCAGTAGTTGTGTGTGATTGTCAAAACATAGTACGGTTTTGAAGACAAACAGAGTAGTTGGCAAGCGGAATGACTGCGGTGGCAGGAAACCAGAGAAATGGATGACTAACAGGTGTGTGTGTGTGTGTGTGTGTGTGTGTGTGTGTGTGTGTGTAAATTGGATGGGAAATTTGTACATGCACATATAAAAAATATGAAAACTATTTTTATGCTCTTTCCCAGTCTGCTTTCCTGCACTTTTTTCTCATCTCTCAAAGTTTCACATGCTCCCACCTGAATGTCTCCGATCCCCATGTCTCTCTGCACATCGTATCGGATCACAAAGTCTCCCAGGAGGCCGTTGGTGGTAATCTTGGCCTGTTGGACGATGTTGGGGCTGAAGGTGATCTTGCAGACGTTCTTTTCGTTTTTGATCACAGTAGTGACGGGAGGCTCCAGCTTGGCTTGAAGCACAAAGGCAGGAAGTGTGTTTGTGGAAGCTTTAACTGGCTTAAAAACAAAACTTTGAAATAAGTAAATTAATAATAAAGTGACCATGACCCTTAAAGTGGATTGTGCTCTGTGTACTTTTTTTTAAATTGGACATATTCTAACAATAACAATACAAAAACATATTGAGTAGAAATGTATAAATTGAAAAGCGTATTATTTGTGCAGCATGATCAAAATAACAGCATGAAAAACTACAAAAATAGCAAATATGTTACAAAATTAGCTGATAAAATAATAAGATGTCTCTGTAAACCTGGTGTCTTAGGCCCAGTTTCACTGCTGGACGCACTGCTGCTCCTGCCGTTGCGGAGTGGCAGCACCTGGAGGTCTGTGATGGGGGAATGGTCCACGATGGTGACGTCCAGGGTGAGGCGGCTCACCAGCTGCAGCGGACGCAGGCTAGTCACGTGTTCGTAGCGTCCCAGACGTCGCTGCAGAAGCTCCTCATAGGTCAGCAGGAAGACGGCCCGATTCCGACCCGGGATGTTGGCCGCCATCCTGAACACCTCTACCTCCGGCTCTGGACTAGAGGGGAGGAGGCCATTTTAATGCCAGAATACCACGTTTTGGGATGAAGTTGTGGGGTTTTTTTTCATACTTTTGAACAGATTATGTGTTAGTTCTCATTAATTTCACCTGGAAGAAGTGACTGACCTTTACCACATTCGGCGCCAGAGCACTGAATGTGGATCAATCCACAGCTTAAAGTAGTCCCCAACAACAGCACTGAGACGTAATGTTGGCGATTTTTTTATTGTTTTTAGTCTTTTTAATGGGATTTGTTGACTGCTGTGTATAAAATAATGTCTCCTTTTAAGTGTCATGCTCATAAAACTAGAAAATACTGCACTGGTTCTATTCATTTTTAGTATTTTTCAGTCTTTCTTGATTCTGGCACGGCAACCAACATAATTTTTGATACTACCACTAGATGGCTTTAATTTAACTAACTGACTTATTGAATTTAAAGCATAATTTTGGTTAGCTTTTAGCTAAATGGTAATTTCTCGGGAAAAAAAAAACTATCTGGGAAGTTATTTCAGTGTTGTGTTGCAGTGGATTGTTGTCTGCCACCATGTCTTTTTTGATTCCACCACTGGGTGGCGCCATAGTCAGAAATGTTCAAATTATACACAGTGACTTTAATATCAGAAATTTAAACTTAAAAACATTAAGGATTTGTCTTTGATTTGTTTAGGCGAGATTTATCTCGGTTTAATCTGGAGCCTCTGCTGCTTTAGTAGTATATAAACACCGATCAGCTATAACATTATGAGGGTGGGATATATTAGGTAGCAGTTGATGTGTTAGAAGCAGTAAAAAATGGGCAGCGTGAGGATTTGAGCGACTTTGACAAGGGGCCAAATTGAGATGGTTAGACGACTGGGTCAGAGCATCTCCAGAACTGCAGCTCTTGTGGGGTCTGCAGTGGTCAGTACCTATCAAAAGTGGTCCAAGGAAGGAAAAGCGGTGAACCAGAGACAGGGTCATGGGTGGCCGAGGCTGACTGATGTATGCCGAGAGCGAAGACTGGCCCGTGAGCTACTGTAGCTCTGATAGAAAGGGCTCAGAACACACAGTGCATCGCAGTTTGTTGCTCCATCACTGTCCCTCAGTATTTGTTTAATAAGATTTTGTATTTTGTATGTTTAGAGCATAAGAGCAGCAGCAATAAACAGAAAAAAAAACATAAAATATAGATGACAGAACATAAACATTGGGAGCAATTAGGAAAAAGGTGGAGTACAGAAGAGGTGGAGTACAGAAGAGGTGGAGCGGTGAACTGAGCAGTCCAAGTGGTGATATCATGAATATGGAAGTTCTGTTTCTGTCTAATCTCAAATCTTCCACTTCAATCCTTTCCTTCCTCCTCGGCTCTGTCCTTTACAACGGAGTCATTGAATCACCGAACTTCATTTAATGAAATGTCACTTTTTTCGACGACAGCTGGAAATCTGATGTCACTTCTTCCATACGTCACTTCTTGGGTCACAGATTTATATGACAATCCTCGTCTCTGGAGCAATGATCTTATTTCAGACTCTGCTCACACACACACACACACACACACACACACATACTGAACACAGACACACGCACACACACACACTGAACACACACTCGCTCTTTGTGGCCGCCCAGTTGTGGTAAAAGAGGTTTTAGTGGGGATATTATCAATCTCTGTTTGCAAAATAGGAACATTAGAGGTTGCGAGTGCGGCTGTGTAATTAGGAGGAGACGCCAGACCATAGGAGTGACCACACATATACTGAAACACACACACACACACACACACACACACACACACACACACACACACACACACTCAGGTTTCTCTTACCTTGCATCACCTGACTCTTTGTTCTTGGGTTTTCCGTTCTCCTGTTTGACCCTCTTTTCCTTCGGCCTGACCTCGCTCTGGTAGACGCGCCCTCCAATGATCCTGGTTCACGGGGTCAAAGGTCGAGGATTAGAGCACAGCGCTCATATTCAGGGCGACCTATTGTCACGTCTCAACTGGGCTTCTCTCGGACAAAAGACAGAATTTGAGGACAAAATCCTGTCGTTACCTATGTGTGGGTAACAGCCCTGCACATGAATGAACTCCGGCCGCTGTGTGTTAACAGCAGTATAAAAGTTTTCACCCTTTCTTGGCTCCTTGCTCGCGTCTCCATAGAAACCGAAACATCATAAATCCTTCCAGCCACTAAATCCTGTTTCTTTTCATAAAATACCTTCCAAATGTGGTTAGATTGTCTTTAGTAGTGATGTTATTATTTGGAGATTAGTTAGTTTATACAAAAAAAGATGTCTGGCATTATCACTTCTTATCACTATCTTTGCTTTACATTTTAATGATAAGCTATTATTGTATTATTATCAATAATAAGACATAATGGGACTCAAGACTGACTGTAAGAAGTCATTGGTTATATCCACAGAAAATAGAAGGATAATCTTAATGGGAACCATTTAAATAATAATTGCAGAGCAGTGGTTCCCAACCTGGGGTCAAGACCCTTCTAGGGGTCCTAAGATAAAACTGTTGGTGGTTTAAGGTGATTAAAGGAGAAATCTATTTTTCTGACTTTCCACTGTTGTTGCCCTTTTCTTCTGAAACCCTGGAAGCCTTTTACCTCATCATGCTTTCCTAAAATCCAAGAAGGCAAGATTGCTTCTCCCGTCAACTGCTCACAACTCATATCAACACCATGATGAACACCAGATGAAGGGTCACAAGCCAAAAAAAACCCTGCTGTAGAAGACTGAGTGAGTTTTAAGATGCTCCTTAATGGTTCCAGAATATTTGACAAATGCATACAACTAACTTTTATCCTGATTATGTTTTTTTTTTTATCATGTTGTTATGATTTTAGGTGCACTGTGACGTGAACCTGTGAGACTCTTACATGGTGAAATTGGAGACGTAGGCATTAGCGGGGACCTGAAACTGGAAGACGCCCTCGGTGGCGGCGGAGTGCCGGTTGAGCATGGCGCAGTACACCGCCGTGAAGGCGTAACGAGAGATGATGGTGGTCTTGATGGAGAGTTCCTGGATGTGAGGTTTAGTCTCCTGCAAAAGGAAACGTTCAAAAAAATCTGAAGAACCACCAAATATCAGCAGATCACACAAACGCCAGTTTGGCCCGTTTTTACGCGCTCCAGCTGCAAATGTAATATATTTTGATTAGCCAAGATATCTCATTTCAAGAATCCCCCCACCCCCCCATAGTTACCATCACCAAACTGAGGCGTTTAAATGTGTTCCCATGAGCTGAGATCCAGTGCATTACAGATACTTTGGCACATCTGCGCGCTTGGCGGATCTCCTGTGCGTCACGCCCAAAGTGCGCAAGTTTAGGATGACAAAATATGCTTCAAAATAACTTAAAACTAGGTCATGCATTTTAGGTCACTGTTAAAAAATACAAATTTATGTTCAATCAACTGTTTTCTTAAAGGTCAGTTCACTGTAAACTCCTAAACTCAGAGTTTTAAAAGGTTAAAAGGTATCAATATTTATTACGATGTGCCAAATTATCACACCAAAGACCCCAGGGCAAAGACAGGGCACCTCTAAACTCAGACCTGTAGCCTCTAAAAATAGAGAAATATTCAAAAAGCTTCATATCTCTGCAGTAAATCTAACTTTACCTTGGATAGTATAGTTTTCACCTGCCGTGGGACCCTGCGTGGCGCCTGTTTGTACAAAAGAAATGAGTCAAATAAGGAAATCGAAACACCAGAATATACAGCATCTTTTAAATATCTTACAATGCCTAAATCAAAGTCTGCAAAGTCGGAATCAATCTCATCTGCAAACTGGGATTCCTCCAGTTGCCCCAGTACACTCGGGCTGAAACACACGAGCAGAGTCAACAGCAGCATCTTGTAGTCCTTCTCCAGTAAAACTCAAACAGATAAATGGGACATTATTTCCAGCGCGCAGCGTCTCCGAGTCTCCGTGTGTCCGGATCAGAGTGACCGGACAGAGGAGTGACACGGTGTGCAGAGGAAAAATACGCCCACCCACTCACTGGAGGAGAGAGATGCAGTTTTCAATCCTACTCCTGAGTGAGGGGCAATTAGAGCTGCTGCTGCTGCCTTCAGGCGGTGTCGGAATTTTTGCAGTTATGAGTTAAAATGTCCTTAAAAGTGTCCAACCTGTACATTTACTCAAAACTACTTAAGGAAAAATTCCAAGTACTTGTACTTTTATATTTTCCAGAGGCAAATATTGTACTTTTTACTCCATTACATTTATATGACAGCTTAAGTTACTAAACATTTTGCATATTACAACTTTTTATACCCCTGTCCAGTCATAACCATATTTCTCCACATTTGGTTATTTTTTCTGCTCATATAGACGATGAAGTAAAACAATCTCCTTTAAAGCTAAATAAACTATTTAAAAATCCTCTTGGATTAGCTGCAGTTTTTCTGAGCTCATGAAAAGTTGACTTTTTAGAGATATGTTGACAACGATGTTACAAACATATAATGAACTTATAGAATATGATGCATTGCTGTAGATTAAACTACCCAAAAGTACATAAAGTCGATTACATTTTCTCAGCTTTAAGCATCTACAGCGGTAAAATGCAACATCCACATTAATGCAGCAGTAATATTAATCCAGAACATCAGATATAACCGTAAAACACTGACAGGGAGACCATTTGATGATTAGTTTGATACTTTAATACTTTTATTTACTGAATGTTTTGAATGCAGGACTTTAACTTGTAGTGGAGTATTTTCATAGTGTGGTATTTCTTTTCTAAATACTTCATCCATCACTGCCAGTCTCAGGTTAATATTCTACTTATGGAGATATATTTCTTCTCAAAATGTCAATAATGAAGAAAGCAGTTTATTTTCTTACAAGTTTGTCACTTTTATTCTTCAACATTTTCCATCAGTTTTGACACAAAGTGAGAAATATGGCAGCGTTTTTAAAGTAAAGACTCATGTTCTACTTCAAAATGACCTCCATGTTTGACATTCTGTGTGATAATTAGTTTATTGCACTGTGTATGTTTAGCTTAAATTACTATCTTTATATGTTAAAAGCCTGTGCATATGCAGATAGAGGCCGGATTTACAAGGCGTACCTGAAGGCAGCATGCCACTACCATTAACCATGACCTTCCATCAGCTGCCTGAAATATGACCTGTTTCATAACACAATAATATAAATTTGCAAAGTTTTCCTGTAACAACTGTTGTTCTAGATTACGTTTGTCATTAATAAACAAAAGAAAATGTAATTTTATGTGTTTATTGAACTTAATTAGAAGAATAAAATTAAATGAAACGCTTTGGATCTCTGGTAAATATTTGTTTCATCTCCATTTTTATTGTTTTTCAATAACAATTTTATACCAATTCTCTCCCTAATTGATTTTTAGGGAGAGAATTGACAATAAAAAATAAATAAATCTACTTTTAGCTTCAAGCCTTCAGCAGTCAGACCTACTTTGGTGCCATCTTGTGGGCAATTGGATATAATGCAACATGACACCTTTCCCATGTAAACTGGGGTCTGTGCCTTTTATATTATACCTGGAAACACACCAGAATGATATTTAACCACGATTACAGCCATATTTAGTTAAATGTGGACAGTTTGTGACTTTTATATGAGAGTCGCAGATCTTAAAACAATCTGTCTGATGGGAAACTTGTGATAATCTACAAAAGAGTCCAAATCTATTTACCCTGCCCACACTGCAGGTCAAGTTTCAAAGTTTCCTTCTTGTTTCTGGGTTACATGAAAGACAACAAATATTGACTGGGGCCAGGAGTCGATCGGTTCAGTGGATTTTAACCTTCAGTTTTCAGCTCGGCTGTGTTTCTCCCTGCAGAAGGACTGTCTGTCTCCCAGTGCTGTGTTTCTTTTTTATATATATGTGTGTGAGGGTATGTGTGTTTGAGCCCACAGGCCTGGAAACATGAGGCGTCTGCTGCTGCTGCTTCTGGGGCTCCTGCTCCTCCAACAGGGCCGCTGCTTTGAGTTTGTGATTGATGGAGAATGGGAGGACGAGACGGTGAGTTGGAGGGGGTTATCATGGACTATGGGAAGGGTGTAAATCCTGAAAGAACACTGTTTATGCCACTTTTTATTTACAGACTATAGTTTGACTGATATCTATCTCAAATTGACTGATTTGTGAATGGAAAGATATATATGAAAACATTTAGCATCTATTTGTAGTTGTAGGACTGACATGAAGAAAATGTTATATTTTATGGTATTTCATGATTTCAAAATTGATATTGCAAGAGAAGTGAATTGTATATCATATAAGAACTTTTTCTGTGTATACATATATCTAAACTCCCTCTGACTGCTCACCTTTAAAACTCACTTCAGTACTTTTGCAGAGGGGTCATTTTTTGCCAGTATTTCACAATCTCTGTCCAGATTTGATTTAAATCCCATGATGCACATAAAATAAATACAAGCAACTATTCTGAATTGTTGCAGAAAATATACAAAATGTATGTGTTACTCATTTTATTGGGTGAATTATTTTGATTGTTAAGTCTGATATTTGTCGTAATTAAACAAACTTTCTCCTTTTCTCTTATCTAAACTTTTACCTTTAAAACTCACTTTTGTACTACGAGTAAGACCATATTTTTTGTTTAAATGTGAGTTAAATTACTTTAAAAAAGCTATTTTTTCCTAAATAGCTGCAGAAACAATACTGAATTTATATTAAATAAATCAGATTTTCATCATTATTTTCTTTCTGCCACCAGTCACATCTACAGGATCATCGGGAGAGACACAAGGTGGGATCTTCTTCTTCCAAACAAACTGACTTTTCTTATTTACATACATGTCTAATTGTATGATACAGAGCATGAATGGCGGGTTTGCTTTTATCATTGATGTTGCAATAATTGCAATCATCGATCCGTGGAATGAATTTCACTGATTACACAGAAATAAACAAGGGCATCGTCGAACAAACCCACAACAGTTTGTGATTTATAATCTTCTCCCAGAGAGTTGATTAAAACAGAGTCAAGCTGATGACTTGTCTGTGTGTGTTTCAGAGAGCAATATTGACCAGCGAGGAGCAGGAAGACTTTGAGGTATGACTCTCCGCTTGTTGTTCGAGCCCTCTCCACTGTGACAGAGTTTAACCTTATCTAATAGTCAATATGCTGCTGTTTGAAGAGATTCCCATGACTGACGGGTTATTGACTTTGTTCTTGTTAATCCTACTAAACCTCCCTTTTTGGTCTGTCTTTCTCTGCCTCTATATTTGTCTTTATATAATCTCAAACTATGGCAATATCTTTCTGATTTAAATTTGGCTAATTGCTAAGAGAAGGAGCACTATAAAGCAAAAGCAACCATACTTAATGCAAATTGTAAGACCAGACTGAGAGCAGACCAACTGAATCAAGAATATCCAAAATATGGTTTAAATTCCTTGTGAAAATTAAAGAAATATGTGTTTTTCAAGGCTAAAAATCAAATCTAGCTCCAAGTTCTCTGCAGGATAATCCCTAAACACAACATACATAATGAATCAATGCATTAAAGGTTTATGAAATTTTACCAAAAGAGAGGAGGTCAGAAAAAGTCAAGAATTCTAAGAAAGAGAAGTCTTTAATATCAGAAAAGTGTCCTGTAAACTTTATCCTCTCCACTGCTGAGCCCTCGACACCCATCATCCATCCTCACTTATCCTGTCATTGGCTGCGCAGGCCATCCGTGGAGAGGACATCACCGTCAAGAGCTATAAGGTGGAGAGCCGGATCACGTCACGCTTCGCCCACACCACTGTCAGGAGCTCGGTGGTCAATTCGGGCTCCAAAGCCCAGAGCATCGGCTTCAACGTCCAGATCCCCAAACGAGCTTTCATCACCAACTTTACCATGTGAGCCCAGCTTCCCAAAGTGCAAACAGTCTTTTAGACCGAGATGATAGAGGTTTAACTTTTCATGCTTTTTGTTGCAGGAATGTGAATGGGATAACATTTGTGGGCTCAGTGAAGGAGAAGACAGTGGCCAGGAACCTGTACGCCCAGGCCAGATCCAGAGGCAAGGCAGCAGCCATCGTCAGGTACTGGATCAGCCTTTTAGATTTCAACCCTCTGTTAAGCTCTAAATACAGACTGAAAGGTTTCTGCTTAACAGGGCTAATTCCCAGGACATGGAGACCTTTAAGACGGAAGTCCATGTTCCTCCTGGCAGCCACATTGAGTTCGAGCTCCACTACCAGGAGATGATGCACCGCAGGCTGGGTTTCTATGAACACTCACTGTACCTGCAGCCTGGGAGGCTGGTGCCCCAGTTCCAGGTAAAAATATCATCACATATGTGCAGCTTTGCATGCATGTATGTGTTCTTCCATTCATCCCTGACTTGGTGTCTCTCTTTAGGTGGATGTGTACATCTTTGAGCCGAAGGGAATTACCATGGTACAAACACCAAGCACCCTTGGAGAGCAGTTTGCAGAGATGATCAGCCTCACACAATCCAAAGACAAGGTAAGACTGGTAAACACCAAGAGAGCCAGTTGCTCTGCCACAGCTGTGCAATTCAAACATTAGAATCTGGATCTCCATCTAATCCACCTATAATCCTAATACAAGGTGCATTTGGTGCATGCATTTTAGAACTTGCATTAGGAATATTTGCCAGAGATATGTATCCCAGACGTTTTTGGGGATATTATGAAAATTAACAAATACTTAAGTAGATTCTGGCAGCCCCTGTGGAAGAATAATAATAAAAGTATCTGTGCAGGCAGGCATCTGAATGTCTAACAAGTTGTATGATTCACTCTGTCTGTGTCCCCAGGCCCATATTGTCTTCAAGCCCAACCTACAGCAGCAGAGAAAGTGTGACAACTGCACTGGAAGCGCTATAGACGGTGTCTTTACGGTCACATATGACGTGAACAGGGACAGCAATGCCGGGGAACTACAGGTTATCACACGAGTTATCCAAGTGTACAGTTTAAAGCCTCATTAATGAACTTGTTTTAATATTGCATACAGCTAGAAACAGATCGAAGATGATCCCTCAAGCCTTCACTGTTTACTCCAGGTCTCGGATGGCCACTTTGTCCAATTCTTCGCTCCTTCCAACCTCTCACCCCTCCCTAAAAACATTGTGTTTGTCATTGACGTCAGTGGATCCATGTGGGGAGTCAAGATGAAGCAAGTAAGTGGTAGATGTTTACACGGTTGGAGTGCACTTTGACCCCTCCTCCAACCATCCTCCTGTTCCCTGCTCCTTCTTCACCCCTCCTTTGTAAGACACTGCCACCGTGTGGTCATTCCGCAGAATGCATTTAATTCTCCACACTTGTCTCGCAGACAGTGGAGGCCATGCAGGCTATTTTGGATGACCTGACCATAGATGATCACTTCAGCATCATTGACTTCAACCACAATGTGCGTTGCTGGAACGAAGAGCTGGTCCCCGGCTCCTCTATTCAGATCGCAGATGCCAAGAAATACATCCAGAACATCAAACCCAACGGAGGTGTGAGAAACGTAAACTTTAATCAAGCATGAGGCTTAGAACTTTTTGATTGGCCTGCTAAACATAAACTGTCTGTTAATTACTATATTTTACTGACTTTTGACTCCAGGTACCAACATCAATGAGGCCCTGATGAGAGCAATTCAGATGCTGCTGAGGGCGTCCAATCAGGGACTCATCGACCCTCGCTCTGTCTCTATGATCATTCTGGTGTCCGATGGAGACCCCACTGTCGGTAAGACTGACCGACTCAGCTTGGCCCTGATCGACCAAAATAAATTCTACTCTCAAATCAGCTCTGCAGCCATGAATATACTCTTCTACTTGGTGTTTCTAGGTGAGATCAAGCTCAGCACCATCCAGAAGAATGTGAAGCGGGTGATGCGGGAGGAGTTTTCTCTCTTCTCGCTGGGCATCGGCTTCGACGTGGACTATGACTTCCTGGAGCGTATTGCCATGGAGAACAGGGGCATGGCTCAGAGGATCTACGCCAACCACGATGCTGCAGAACAGCTACGGGTTAGAGAAGCTTTGAGGAAAACTTAACCTTCGGCAAACAAGCTCAGCATCACTTAGATCTTTGTCCTCATTCCCTTTCAAAAAACACATCATATGTTATATATTATACTTGTGGCTGGGGTCTCTATTTATCATTTTTTGCATATTAGTGAATTTAAATCCGGTATCGAAACGCAAAACCCAATTTTAAAGTATTTTGGTTTAGATTTCAATGATTTTAAGTAACAAAAGTTAGAAATAATTTAATACTGATGGACTAAAACCCAAATACTGTAATTTAAAGTGATAAAGCTCAAGTTTTGCTAATTTAAAATGAGCAAATCCTTCCTTCCTTCCATCCTTAGTCATGATACCTCTATACAGAAACTCTACTGGAGATCATGGTTTAGTTTCCTGATGCTCTTGAAGATCGACAGCATCTTCTACAGTCTCCCTCCTCTTCCCCTTGCAGATGTTTTACAGCCAGGTCTCCTCTCCTCTGCTGAGGAGGATCACCATCCAGTTCCCTGAGGACTCGGTGTCAGATGTCACCCAGAACCGCTTCGACAAATACTTCAGCGGCTCAGAGCTGGTGGTGGCTGGGAAGGTGCTGCCGTCTGACAGCAACACCCTGACCAGCTTCACCACCGCATCTGCCGTGAGTATATTCAACACGGCCATGCATTTACAACATGTTTTACATCATTGCACATGTAAGAGCTGAACTGAATACTTATAATTACTAATTCAGAGGTTCCAAACTGAGGGATCTTGATTCCTTCAGCAGGAAAAACATTGTATTGATCAGATTTTTCTCAAATCTTTCCTTCTTGTGTGACAGTTTCACATCTTCAGGTCACCAACAGTTATTTAAACGAAGCAATCTGAGAGGTCTAGAAGTGAAAATCATTCTTTGTTTAACTGTGATGGGGAAGGAAAAGGAACTGTGACTCTAACATGAATCCATGCGAACACTGTTTAAATGAAACAAGACCAGACAAAAACACACACACAGACTATTTCCTTGTTCACATTGGTTTTGCATTGCCCTCAATTCATTTAATCCTTGACCGATTCATGAGGAATTATGGCTGACGAACCAAACTGGGAAAATATGTGTCACGTGAATGCAGAATTCAAAAGTTGATGGTTCAAGGCCATGGGTGGAGAGAAGGAATGGGACCTAATACCACCACTGTCCTCTGTCCTGTCTTGTCCCGCAGTCCCGCCTGGATATGACCCTGGAGACCGAGGCTGACACCACGGAGCTGGACACGGAGCTGGCCAAGCAGCAGCACTCGTTCACAGGCTTCGCCAGACAGATGTGGGCTTACATCACCATCAAACAGCTGCTCTCTGAAAGGTGAAACATTAAGGAAACATTACAGTTTTGTAGAAATATGATAGTATTGTCCCTCCTAACAGTTAATCAGTGTTACTGTCAGTATTCTGACCGCTGCAGTGTGGCTCTCCTGCAGGTCTCTGGCTCCGACAGCTGTCAAGAAGAGGAAGATCACCCAGCGGATTATGTCGCTGGCTGTGGAGCATCAGTTCGTCACTCCTCTCACTGCTCTGCTGGTAGAGAGCGAAGGCGCCACAGAGAGGCTGCTGGCTGACTCCCCAAGGGACCCCAAGCATGGCTGCTGCTCAGGTGCCTGACAGAAGATACTCTATCTCTCTCTCAGTGTTTATTGATGTCGCTGTCTCAACCTGATTTTTATGGTGTCTGGTTTGAATTTAAAGGACAGAAAGCATTTTTTGATTTTGATTTTATGGGAACAGAATGGTCTCTTTAGATCTAAATCTTTATTTGACAGATTTCTGCTGCACAATTATGTTACACGAGGAATATAGTATCAAAAACACAAGAAAAATATATATATTCTTTCAATTCTATATCAAATACACAACCAATCAAGCTACTTTGACTGACAATGCTGGGTTACCGTCACACTGTCATGTGAGTGTAGGAGGAGGACTAGGAGGAGGCTCATCGATCAATGGTCCGGGTCCAGTCCGCGTTGTCTACCAGCCTCCACCATGGGTCCAGATGACCACTACGGCTCCCCCGAGTCAGGCTGAGAAGGGTCCGGAGGAGTGGACCCTGCCTCTAAAGGTCAACTTAGGTAACACACACACACACACACACACACACACACACACTTCTGCTGACTTCCATAAACTCATGACAACTCTTCCAGCTGCTGAGTTAAATGTGAACGGTACTCAGTGTGTAACAAGCTCAGTGTTTCTCATCCAGTGGACAACGACCCACACTTCATCATCCACCTGCCCCGAAGTAACATGGACGTCTGCTTCAACATCGACTCCAAACCCGGTCACATTCTCAACCTGGTGTCTGACAGTGGAACAGGTACCAAACTTTACTGAATAAATAGTCATATATCTTTCCTTAAGCAACCTGATTTGACACAGATTTTCTGTCCTTAATGAACATGTAGCATTTTAACATCACAGTATGTATTTTAAGGCATTTTTGTTTAATTACTGTAAACAAACAAGACCAGTGCAAAAGTTATGATTTCTGTATCATACTATATTTAGTCAGTAGTCACTAAGGGTTACTTATTCCAGGTCCTTCAATAGTATTCAATAGGAATACTATGAAATGTCTTTTGAATCTGTATTTATGAAAGATTATGAAGATTGAACTCAGGCTGTCCCGTTAAAGTGTGACCTTACATTTGATGAGTTGACCCTCTCCTGTCCTGAAGGTGTGGTGGTGAACGGTCAGTTGATTGGCTCTAAGCAGATGCACAAAAACAAACTGAACACCTACTTCGGCACCATCTCGGTCTACTACCAGCCCGATGGAGTCAGCGTGACCGCCAGCACCGTCGGCATCGCCGTGACCGACGGCAGGAACAACCACTCCTTCACCTGGGGGGCCACGTCCGAAATCACACAGGATGGGTAACTGTTACCTTTTATTTACAGCTTCTGCCTCACTGCCCTTTACATCTGGGTCATTTTGTCTCATGTTTCTGTGTTTCAGTGTGAGGATTTCCATCGTGAAGAACTCTCACGTTTCCATCACAATAAATAACGATATCCAGGTGATGGTGTTACTTCATCGTGTGTGGAAGAAAAATCCGGTCAGCGTTGACTTCCTCGGTATCTACATTGCCAATGACAACCGGTACTCCCCTCTGGTTCACGGGCTAATAGGTACGTCTCAGCAACCTCACAGGCTTTAAAACAACTGCAGGGTGTTACTGCCATAGCCAGACCTCAAGCTTTAGATTGTAGAAAAACATTTATAAGGTCACCCAGAGGTTCACACCGGCCCCTATTTAACAGGACAGTTTTCCAGAGAGCCTGAGGTGAGCGTGAACGACATTCACGAAGGAGTCGACCCTCTGAAGAAGGAGGCCATCATGGAGGTGAAGGGCAACAGGCTGCACGTCACCAGGTACGTCTTAACTCACATAACACCTGTTTCTGAACAAACCCATTTCTTATTCAAACCATAAACCTGTGTGTTTGTGTGTATTAGGGGCTGGCAAAAGGACTACAGGCAGGATAAGAAGCGCGGCTCAAACGTCTACTGCTGGTTTGTGCACAACAGTGGGAAGGGCTTTATCGACGGTCACTACACCGATTACATCGTCCCGGAACTCAACAGCTTCCTCCAGACGCTCTGAGCAGCCAGGGACACATTCAAGAGTGCTGTGCTGCTTATTAATCACCTGGGTCAGTAGGGTTGTAAAGAAAATTACATTTAAAACAGAGTGAGTGAAAAAACTGGAGCCACAAGACAGAGGGGAAGACATGAAGACGTGTAACTTTTTGGTATCTGTGTGCATCTACATCTTCTGATTACAGTCTTTATTTTAAAAATTCTAGATGTTTTTTCCTCCCCCAATTATTTTCCAAAGAACACCAGAAGTCACTTTTGCTGAATTTATTTGGAGAAAATGTACATCTGCAATGTTGTAGATCAACTTGAACATTAATACAAAATAAAAAACTAATTGAACACATTGTTTTCTCTGCGATAACTCACTGGAATTGCATTGTGGGATGTGTGTGTGTATGTACAGGTGAATCTTGGAGGGGGTGGGGAGGGGGGAGTAACTCTGACACAGTAGAGAGTCCCTCAGGGTAACTGACTGCCTGAGGTTAGAAAAGGAAGGTTGTTGGTTCAGGCCAGTTTTGAGAAATCCTCATAGGCGATGTCCACTCTCTTCCCCTTCTCCTTACCCTAAAGGGGAGAGAGGATGAAACTTTAAAAGATGCAACATAGGTACACAGGTTAAGCCTCATTTTTCACACTGAATGTGGTCAGATGCATATTGTTTTGGGTTTATCTGCCCAGGTTTTGTTTATGCTCTATAACAAACGGTTTTACATTTAAAAAGTCACCAGCAACATCTCTCTGCAGGTATGGTGTCCCTTTTGCTCTGGATAATAAATAATAAGTTATGTTCGGGGGTATTATCCAAACAAACAGAGGGAGACGCTGTTGGCGGGAAGACGCATTATTTTGAAATGCGACTTTTCAGTGCTTTGAGAACCACAAACGAAACCAAGTAGATATCTCAGAAACTATCCAAAAACTACCCCGACGGTAAACGATAAATTCTGCTTTTTGTAATCTAGTTCATTCCGAACTACTCACAGAGTCGAGCGTGAGCGTAGCGCTGAAGTTCTTTTCGTCTATCCCCTCCAGCACAGCCTCCGTGTCTCTGTACGGACCGTTCAGGATCAGAACCCGTTTACCTGCGGGGAGGGGAGTTTAACAACAAGATGCTGAGGAGGACAGAAAAAAAGACAGCTGAGGCACGTGGTGATGCCTCCACCTCAGGTTTGTTCATCGGTTTGATGTTCAGCGATCTGTAGAACGTCGTTAGAAGAGTTAACAGGTTTTGGCGGCTCACCTGGTGCAGGTATGACCGTCTCTACGTGATTCTGGTCCAGTTTCAGTTTGTCTCCGGAGTCGATTATCTTCACCACCGCTGCATACTTGTCTCGCACTTCCTACGACAAAAAAAAGATCCACCACGGCTATTAGCAACGTAGCTCTTCCGACATCCACATAAACGTGCTCTCGCCCAAAATAAATACAAAGCACAGTTACCGTGACGACAGCCTTCTTCTTGTGGTACCTATCTCCCAGCCTCTTGGTGACAACTTTGACCACAATGTTGGGCTGCAGCCAGTAATCTGTTCTGACCTGCTGCTGCTTCTTCTTCTTCCTCTCCTCCATCTGAACAGAATAAAAAAAAAAAAAAAAGAGCTCCTTCTCAGAACACTCAGCTGGACTAAATGCAAACACAAGACAAGATATAATCCTCCTCTATATACCTCTATGATCTCCTCCAGAGCAGATTTCTTCTTCTTATCCGATCTGGAGTCTGAACTGGAGGACGTGTCTTTCCTCTTGGTCGAAGAGGAGGATGATGATGCTGCTGCTTTGAGAGCGCTAGCACCCAGGGCAGAACTACAGGGAGATCCAAACAAGTGTCAGACAAAATAATTCAAATAAAATAATTATGCAGAACACTTAGAAAACTGCAGAGACTCCTGTACCTCGATTTGGAAGGACCGGCTACACACGAAGAGGCTCCCAGGTTGAAAGCGACTGCAGAAGAACATGTGAGGGTGAGTGGAAAGAAAGGAACAAACATGCTAAATTTTGTCGAGAGTTTTGATTAGAATACCCAAAATCATCATGACATCCCAAAAGCTTAGTAACTGAGACAAAAAACATTTATCATCACTGTTCTTTAACCTAAAAATTACAGTTTTTGTCTGCAATTTAGAATTTTTTTAACTTACTTTTCTCTTCTTCACTCTCACGTTTCAGCTCTGTGTAAACTGGAGTTTCCTACAGAGAAAAATACAGAACAAAATATTATTTTAAAGTTTTTATTTAGCTGCACTGAGCATGTGCACACTAATCTATATATATCAGAGATTGTATCATCAAAATATCTATAGAATGTGATTCTGTTGGTCTCTATTGCATGTCTGTCTATCTTGGGAGAGGTCTCCCTCCTCTGTGTCTCCTCCTGAGGTTTCTTCCATTTTCCCCGCGTTAAAGGTTTTATCTGGGGGAGTTTTTCCTTTCCCCAATCGGACACAGGGGGTGTTGAATGTTGTACAGACTGTAAAAACTCCCCGACCGTCTCCGCCAGCACTCACTTCTGGCTCCTTGCCGTCGCGGCCTCTGCGGACCTGCTCCTCGATGAACTTGGCGCTCCTCTCCTCGTCGTCCAGGTCCTGCTTCTTCTTCCTCGCCTGCTCCTCTTGGCGGCGGATGGTCTCCGGGTCGCGGTCGATGTACTGGACGTACCAGCCTTTAGGGGTCTCGTCGACCTTACAGAAACCTAGACATTCAGCAAAGTGTTACACATTTAAAATAATCCCTCAGTAATGGAGCAGTAGCTGCACTCTGATCTGATCTCTTCATATCGTGTCTGATTCGGTTTCTGTTGTTGTCTGTCTGCTCTGTAAATGGTGGTCCTTAAAGAGATGTTTCAGGAAGAAGATTTTCCATTCTTTGATGTTATAACCACATATTAAGACTTTCCCCATTCGGTGACTTTACCTTCTCTGCCCAGCCACTTGGTGAAGTCAGTGAGGGTCTCCCACTGGGTGGAGTTCATGTGGACGTGCTCTCTGTCGCTGATGTATTCATTGTAGACAATGTTGTTGTGCACTCGCTTGGTTCCTGCAGATTAAAAAAAAATAAATACAGCTGCTGTTGCACAAAACATCTGGATAAAGTGTGCAGGACTCACCAAAACGTCTGCTGAGCAGCTCCAGGAAGTCGCTTTTAAACTCACTGGGAGAAAAAAAGGAAAAAACAGGAATGGACTTCTCATGAAACTGCAGCCTCACACACACACACACACACACACACACACACACACACACACACACTAAGGGAACTCACTCAGAGAAATAGTCCATGAACTTGTTGGGGTCCTCTGAGGCCAGCAGCAGCTGCCTCTGGTGGGACTCGGACATGCAGTGACATTTGAAGCCGTTCTGTCAACCAACAGTGAAGACACATCACATAGCAAAACACAGTAAACACAGTAAACACAGTAAACACAACAGATTTAATGGACGACTCACCTCATCTCTGCATTGTTTCTGACACATCTGACAATACCACCTCAACTTCTGGAGACCTTTGGACTTTATCCGGTTGGCTATGGCCTTCGGGGACAGAAAGTCTGCTTTTCCCATTCTGGAAAGCACCAATAAACCTACAACACTTGTTATTTATCGATTAATAACCCTTAAAGTGTGAAAAAAGCTCCTTGAATCGCCATGAACGTCCAACAACGTAAACAGTTTCCGCTTGTGGTAACGTCATAATCTCGCGAAAGCCTAGAACTCGCGATATCTTTAGCTGCGTTCAGGGACACACTAAGCTTTCGGAATTTACCCTACTGTTTACAATTTATGATTTATTAAGTTACCCAAACATTTTATTAGATTACTGTAACAAACTTTACTTAGCCCCAGTTTGTGGCTCCCATGTGGTTGTAATTTATTTTGTGATTGTGACAATCCGTCTGCTATCAGTGTTGAGCTGGCTACTAAAAAAAAAAAAAAACAACGTAATTTATTACTCATTAAACTTTTAAAAAGTAATGTAATTACTTTATTAATTACTCCCTGACAACAGTAATAAGTTATACTACTAGTACTTTTTCTGATACTTGTCGCAAAATTGGTAATTTTGCCTCTTTTTCCCAAATTTCAGACTTTTGTTTGTTAAAATTAAAGTAATAGGGTTTTATCTGTAACTAATTATTTTTTTAAGAGGGAAATTTAACATTATTACTGAATATATTAGTAATTAGTAACACTACTAGTTACTGGGGAAAGTATATACAATATAATTAAGAAGATTTGAATCCGTTTTCTAAGTTGCAATTTTATTTAATTTGTAAAACAAACCTTCTCAGCAAGATTACGAGATAAAAATATGATTTATTTTTTATTTTTTAATCGAATCTGCTTAGTGCGTCGCAAAATTGGAATAATTGGCTGATTAATCAGAGTTGTACGGTGGCCCTGAGGTGCAAATCACAACGGCAAATCAGAAAACACAACGACATTAACCAAACTGGAAAAGGTAGGTACCCTCGGGCGACATGAGTCGTCGCTGATTGGACAAAAGAACTGGTCCGTCCTTTGAACCGGAAACACAACACCGCCAGACCTATGCGTTCAAGTTGCCAAATCTGAAAAGTCAAACCACTAAATAAGGAAAATATTGTATTAATACGTCCGTGTTAATGTGGGATACCTAAGAGAGGTAGAAACAGGGGTTCCAATAGTCCATATCTATGTGTTTTCTGATTTGCCGTTGTGATTTGCACCTCAGGGCCACCGTAGAGTTGCCACTTTGGAAACAAAGTTAAACTCTTCTTCAGTGTGCAACCCAACACTACTCGTTGATACAGGTGGACAGGTGAGTCTTTGGCGATTGTGGATATACCTTCAAAACGACAGTAAGTGTTTTTTTTAAACGAGTTATTTGGGTTTTTCAAAGTCTGGGCTTGCTTTTTATTCGTCCAACAGGTGTGTGCATCAGAGAAAAAGAAACTGGGGCTTCATATTTCACCAAAGTTGTTGATTTATTATTAATTTTAGAGTAGTAGCTGCTACAGACACGTTTGCTTGTCATGAGATGGAATTGGACATTTTAATGTAGACAGAATATTAAACTTTAAAAAAAAAAAAAAATCTGCATCACACCGATATGCAGATAAAGTCAAGAGGGAAATTAAACTATTAGTTGTGGATATAAATAACAACAACAACAAAAACGGCCATTTCTCTTTAAAGTTTGTCCCTTCATGTGTGTGTGTGTGTGTGTGTAAGCGCATCTTTCCGATATTTCCAGCAGTCCTTAAAGGCAGCATTCGTCCATTTTGCCTTGAAGTTGCGCCTGCGCAGTTTCGCGTGGCTGACCTTCATCGGAGTAACCATGTTCGCCAGGAGCAGCGCGTTGGTCTTCTCCCCACAATGGTGAAGTCAAACCGCCTTAAATGCTTTCCACAGCGGCGTTTTGAATGTTTATCCTGTGCCTGTGCAACCCGTGTGTGTGTGTGTGTGTGTGTTTGGGGCCGGCTGTGTAACTTCCAGCCTTTTAACGCGGATATTGAACGCAAGGGCACGCTGACGAGGAGGCCGCGGCTAATGAATGACAGCTAGTGACATTGCTAAGTTAACGTTAAGTGCACATTGGGAATAATCGATAATCGCTTTATTACACACCTTATCAATCAATTTGTTAGTTAGCTGTGAACGCTGACGGATGCGAGCGCCTTTGCAGATTATTCTCCAAGTTTTGTAACTAATGTGGCGTTATCTTTTTTTAATTAATTAATTAATTTATTACTATTAATGTTAATAATGCTGTTAACGTGTTGTTAATGCAGCTAAAGCTCACATGCAACTCTTTCTGTTCACAGTGGGCAGGTCAGGAACATGGCTACCTTGAAGGACAGTAAGTACACCGCTGTGTTAAGATGGAAAGACAACAGCGTATATAATAACATATAACAGACTATAATCTCTTAAGGATGTAAAATCTGAATGCTTTGTGGGTAAAAATCTTGTGCATTTTTATGGGAAATGTCACACTCAGCTGTGTAAATGTGCAAATCTCTACAGGGTTAGTGCCTGTTTGCAGGAAAGTGTACTTCAGGACATGATTTTAGTGTCATTTACACTCTGCAAAGTTTTAAATGGAAGCTTCCTCCTGTTAATTTATAGTTTAGAGATGTTGAGCAGATCAGGCTGTCCGCTGTCGTCTATTTCGGTGGAAGGTCGTTATGCAGGCAACTGAATAACAAATGATTTGAGACAAAGTGATCCCGAATTGTCGAAGCTGTCCTACTGATTTACAAAAGGTTTCAACAAAGTGTCTCTTTTTTAAAGAAGGATAATCAAGTTTCTAAATAAGTAAATATAGCCGTATTGTATTAATTTATTTGTTAGCTATAATAAATAGTCTCTGGGAAGGAAACGGAGAATAATGCGTACTGCTTTCAGACTAATTATAATATCCTCTCTTCTCTCTAGTCACCATCCGGTTGAAGTCCATCAAGAACATCCAGAAAATCACCAAGTCCATGAAGATGGTGGCCGCTGCCAAGTATGCTCGCGCTGAGAGGCAGCTGAAGCCAGCCAGAGTCTACGGCACCGGTGCTCTGGGTACGTGCCTCCTATGTTATCTCTCACTTGGCGCGAGTACGATTTTACTCTCCATAGCGTTCACATTGTTTGACACTGGACTAAGACTCTCTCTCTCGCTGTTACCTCTCTGCTCTCCAGCCCTGTACGAGAAGGCCGAGATCAAAGCGTCGGAGGACAAGAGCGCCAAGCATTTGCTCATCGGTGTGACGTCTGACCGTGGACTCTGTGGTGCCATCCACTCTGGCGTGGCCAAGGTCATCAAGAGCGAGATCGCCACCCTGACCGGTGCTGGCAAGGAGGTCATGGTGATCAATGTGGGAGACAAGCTGAGGGGCCTGCTGCACAGGTACACGTGGAAATGGAGCCCATTCGAAGTTCATCTTCATAACATTGATGAAAGACATGAGTCCGGTCCAGTGTTGAGACTTACTGAGCAGCTGTTATATTCCCTGGTTATCTTGTTTTTTTAGGTTTTAATGATGATTTGTAAATTCCCTGTTCTCAGTGTTGGTAATTGCCACATGCACAGTAGCTATTTACAATTTTAGAAATCATTTGATTATGCTGAAGTTTATATTACAGTAATTATTTCATTAGTGTTTTTAATTGCGTTTTTTGGCTTTTGTAGCATAAAAGCTGATAAAGGGGAAGCCCAGCATGCTTCAACTAGTCAAATCCTAATGGATTATTGGGCAGTTTTTGATACATAACTTGAAGGGAGGTGGTACAATAATTTTTTCCCATTATCTACAAGTTTTCACAGCCCGTTCTACGACTGTATTCTCTGCATGAAAATGGCTGTAAATCCCAATTCATACATCAAACAATGAAGTGTGCCCGTGATGCTTATCGTACCGTACCAATAATACCTACTATTCCCAATCAGAACTCATGGAAAGCACATCGTCCTGAACTGTAAGGAAGTCGGCCGCAAGCCCCCCAGCTTCACTGACGCTTCAATTGTCGCCACCGAGCTGCTCAACTGTGGATATGAATATGACCAAGGCTCTGTCATCTTCAACAGATTCAGGTACGATATTTACTTTTTTATTATTTGAATTTGTGTTTTCAAGTTGCATCAGCGAAGAGATGAACAATAAATGTCCCTTTTTTTTTTGTGCTGCAGGTCTGTTATCTCATACAAGACCGACAACAAGCCTTTGTTTTCCGTGGACTCCGTTGCTAACGCAGGTAGTGTTTGTTTTATTTGGGAAAAAGTTTGTACACACATCCTCAGGTTTCCCATATATATATACTGAACATCTGTGTCCTGTGTGCAGAGACCATGGGCATCTATGATGATATTGATGCTGATGTGCTGAGGAACTACCAGGAGTTTTCTCTGGTCAACGTCATCTACCTGGCCATGAAGGAGTCCTCCACCAGTGAGCAGAGTGCCAGGATGACTGCGATGGACAACGCCAGCAAGAACGCCTGTAAGATGCTCGACTTTCAGGAATTGGGGGCACATCAAGATATTTTAAGAAAGGATGTGCTGATATGTAGTACCTCTCCATACGTTTCTACATTCTGTAGTTTCAGCTACTCAAATGTTAACTGAATTATGTTTTTAGTTTTGGACTGACTAAACAGATGAAGAGCCCCCCTTTTAGGCTCTTAGGATTTTGGATGGACATCATCAATACATTATTTTAGAATAGATTATCTTTACTACTTAATTGTTTTTTTGGAAACAGTCCAAAACCCAAACTTTGAATTTATATAAATTAGAGAGACGCAACAGTCCAGCATTTAGTCAGTTATCCAAATGTCACTGTTTTGACTAATGTAGCATTTGATGTGCTGTTGATCACTTATGTAATGCTGAAGCAAACTGCATCATTATAAGTTATACACTGGTTGTCTGGATTTTAGAAAAGAGTTCTTCTTCTATATTCCCTATTAGTTTGTCATTCACTTAACTTTAATGGAATATAATCACATGTTGTGATAGTTTTTCATATCTTATGGTTTTAGTTTGAGCCGTCCCTCCTCCTCAGTGTTTTTACATTTGACATGACTGATTTCTCTCCCTCTTCTCTCAGCTGATATCATTGACAAGCTGACCCTCACCTTCAATCGTACCAGGCAGGCCGTCATCACCAAGGAGCTCATTGAGATCATCTCTGGAGCTGCTGCTCTGTAAGTCTCTTCACCGTCT